GCTTTACCTGTTTTGTTTTGTTTTTAAGTAAAATGATTCTCCAGAAAGCAAGATTTGCTTAAGAAAAGCTAATGAATCAGAATCTTTTCTAATGTAAGTAACAAAAGGTAGTTTCCTAATTAATTAGTTGGCCACAAATCATAAGTTTGTTCTTCATTAGAGCAACAGAAACTGTCTTTTGCTAACTTCAGCAGTAAAGGAATTTGTTGGAAAGGTATAGGATAGTTCACAGATTGGACAGGAAGGACTCCATGACTGGAAATCTGATAGGAGTTGGGAAGGTAAGGGAGGAGGAACCAGGCAAAAATCACACTGCAGAAACAGCATATTTGGGATGTCTCGATGCACGTGACTGTCTTCACTCAGCTGCTGCTAGATGTGTCACTTGAAAACTGTCCCTACATAAAAGCTGCACTAACTCCAGATTGAAAAGTTCTGGGAAGGAACATCCAATTGAATTTTTGTTTTGTTTTGCTGTTGTTGTTTTGAATGGGGAAAAGGGGTCTAGGACTATCACTTCCAAGAATTGCACAGCATGAATTCAGCTAGCACACATGTCCACCACACACTGTTTATGATAATTACTGTAATGAAGAGATAGAATTTCAGTCAAGGATTTCAGAAATGTTTGTAAGGGCAACAAAAAAACTCTAAGAATTAACTCCACTGGCCCACTCAAACATTGCCCAGGTCTACCCTTGATTTTTTTTTCCTTAAAGCTTGACACAAACATCTTCATCAAGATTGCTACTTGCCTAGGATATGACATTGGCTCATCTTACCTACACCTTCACAGGTAGAACTGCATTAATATGTCCATTTTGTATATTACACGACTGAGATGCAGAGAGGGTATGTTGTCTGTAAGTCACACACTATCGGCATAATTGGTTATTATGGAGTACAAACAGATTAGGAGCAATTCATTTCTTCTACCTTATTTACTTTAAGCAAAACATGATGAATAACTTTAAAATATGTATTTCCTCTAGGAAATAGTTGACATTTTTCCCTACAAAATGAGTGATAGTGATTTGAAAGTCCCAGATGGATAAAGAGGAAATTTTTTTTTTTACATTTGAAATTGAATTCATTCATTATAAATCAGATTGAATAATGCTTTTCAAAGCTTCACATTTCACCTGGAAAGAAATCTAATTAACAAGATTGCTTTTTTACAAATTAATTTCCTGACCTATTTCCTTATAGACTGAAAATAGACTCCAAGATATTTGTTCCAGTTACTTAGTTATATTTGAGCCTGAAACTTTCATATGTGGGATTCTATGGACTTTCTTTGATAATGCATATAAGCCCAAATGAATCTTTAAATTAAAATTATAAATATTGAGAATAATAGCTTTGAGGAACATATATCACCATACTAAGCTCAATATTTAGGCTTATATTCCCTCCCGGTTTTATTTGTTGAGGAGACATTTTTCACATCTAATTTTGTGATGTTTTGATCAAGGAATCCTTGAAGAAACAGTTTTCTTAGTGAGGAAATTCAGGGTGTTAAAGCTAATAAAACCCTTCACAAATCATGCAAAGCAAGGTTTCTTGGATGTGTTAGCAGGACACTTCTGTATACCTTCTATTTTACCCCTGCTAAAGTGAAGGTAAAATTCCCCTTGAGATAATGGAGGCCTGCAAAATTTGTGTTCTGGAGTGAAAAGCATGCTTGGATCTCAGCTCTGGCCTGAGAAAATAGGAGTTTCGGTCACTGGGAATGGCTGCCGACTGCCAACAGTGCTGTGACTTAGGAAGCGTGATAGAATTCAGGGGTTCACCAGAGGTGGTTTGGGCACATGGGAAAGTTTCTGTTGGTGATTCAGCTTGGGAGCCAGACAATGCAAGAACGAAAGAATCCATTATGCCAGAGAGCCACCATGATAAAGCAGATTTGGTAAGAGCCAGTTAGGTGCCATGGTCTGCTGAGTATGAGGGCTCAGGTGGAGCCACCTGGAGAAAGGATGGTAACTGAGGTCTACACACAGGCCTGGAAAACACTGAGGGTTTAGAGAATTTAACTAATCCAAGCCCCTATTATCTTTCCCACCTGTTAAGTCAAACAGAGGCCAGAGCCCAGGAGTGTTTGAGGGTGAACGTAAGGAGAGACAGGATTAGGAGCTAGGAAAACAGGCAAATTGAGCTAAGGTTGACATTTTGCCTCCACTTCTGATCTTTTATCGACTCAGCAATGAACTGTCCCAAGTGCTTCCGGATATCTTCACCTCCTTCCTATATCAAAATACTGATGTGATACTGCTATTTGATGATTAACTGAAATGTACTAAGCATTTTACGGGCTTACCTACCCACAGCTTATTTGTAAGACCCTCTCCCCTCACCTCTAGCCCATGTTTTAAGCCAGTGGGTAAGGGGCACTGGAAGTGAAAGTCATCAGACTAGACAGCTGTTTTGGGACAAAAGCTGAACTCATGGAAGAACAGAAGTCATTGGGTAGAAAGCATACACAGCACATACACCAGTCTCATTGCCTTGTGGTTGTTGCGGGGCCCAGCTCCACAGCTGTGGTTGTCCTCTTCAGCTGTACTAGTGATCCTATCCTTTGTTTCTGACTCCTTTCCCCAAATTTCTTGAACTGCTTTAAGAAAAATATTGTTCCTTGTAACAAAATGACTCCCAATCTACAATAAAACTAGTGTTTAAGCCAATTAACTCAATCATTGGTTGTATTTTTACTCTTTATGTTTAGTTGCAGTGAAGAGGTATTTAGTGGGGGTCAGGAGAGGAGGGAATCAGTTATTTAGGGTTTTTTTTTTTTTTCATTGTTTTGTTTTTGAGACAAGGTCTTATTATGTGGCACAGAATGGCCTGGAGCTCTGGAACTTCCTGGTGTGCTAAGTGCTGGGGTTACAGGTGTGTACTACTATGCCCAGGTTTCAGCTAGTTCTAAGATATTCTCCTTTGGTTGGATGAATTATAAGGATAAAGATCAGAAAACATGTCTTCTTTTGCTGCTAGCCTTCTCTGCTCCTTTGCATATACACAAACGTATGTGTGCACCTGCTAGAAACCTGTGTTTTGCTGCTGGCTGGTCTTGTTGTGGGCCCATCCTGTAGGATATACAGCACACCCTTGCTGTGGCTGTGTCTCCACTTCTTACAACCATCTTCACCTTTATCCAACACTTGCCCTTTCTTCTCTCTGCCCTATGATGCCTAAATGTATATTTTGTGCTTTCAGAGCCATTAATCTTTACTATCTAATGAAAAACCTGTCCCATAACTCATTTTTTTAGAGAAAGATTAGTTCCTAATCTTATTTTTTGACCTGGGGTAATAAATTTCTAATGATATAACATTGCAGTTTCTTTCACTAACAGTGACATTATCTGAGTAAGAAGTCTCAATTTTTAATTTTTGGCAGTACAGAGGTTTGAACTCAGAGCCTCACACTTGCTAGGCAGGCATCCTACCACCTGAGCTACTCTGCCAGCCCTCAAATTTATTTTGAAAACAGTTCTACTGCATTCCTACTTACCTCTGCACACATGAGACCCAGTTAGCATCTGATAAACTCTTCACTCTGAAGGGCTGCTTCTTTCCCCAGCAGGAAGTAAGGGTTTTCTTCTGTGTGTTGCTCTAGTACCCTGCTAAGACATCATAATGCTCTGAAACTGTTTTTAAGCTTACCTCCTGTGAGACAGGTCCTTCCAGACTTGTATAGAATGAGAAGAGACTATATACAGATTACAAATCAGCCTTCCTGTTGGGATTCTTATGAGAATTTAGGGTAAATTAGTTTCAATTAAGGCCATGCGAAGCACTTAGTGTTGTGAGTGGTGAATAAATAGGAGCTGCTGTTGCTATTAGTATTAATAAAACTTGTGCAGAGGTTTGTCTGGAGTGTCTCTGTGGGTGGTATGCCACTCTACAGAGAATGCAGGAGATGAAATTTAGGTGTTGGAGCAAAATAATTTCATTTACTATTTTGATGAACTGGACAATATATTAAAATTCACTGGATTCAGTGCTTGTGAAGAGACCCAAGCATGAAATGGGTGCTGCCCTTAACTTAATACATGCTGACTAAATGAAAGAATGTTCATTCATTCATTCATTCATTGAGTCCTTGGCCTTGTTTTTTTGCTTGTTTTGTGATACTGGGGATCAAACTGAGGGTGTCTCAGTATGCTAGGTGCATGTTCTACCACTGATCTAGACCTCTAGCCCTGGCCCTGACTTAACCCTAGATATTAGATAACTTTAAAGGAAGGGATCAAAACTGTTTTTATTTTAATATAAATGCACCATTAGCACCATTAGGAGCATCAGTGCCAAAAAAATGGAAAACAGTTATCAAATGTCATCAAATAGTTACTTAATACTTTCTAATATGGGGCTTTAAGGCTCCATGTGAATCACCAACATTCTCTGGATTCAATCAATTTTGGATTCACTGTTCAAACACCCAAGCTGAGTGAATGTTCTCAAAAGACATGTCTTGATTTCCTGATCATCCTTCTTTGCCCAATATAGAGCCATTTCCCATGCTATTTCCCTTCCTTTCTTCTGAAAATATGATGAGTGGGGATCACAAAAAAAATTGGTTTAAGAGCAATCGGCTTCCTGTTTCCATTAAAGAGAAGGGTCCCAGCAGTGGCCACATGGCAAGACATAGTAATGAGACATTTGATTCAACTTTTCTTCCCCGAGGGGCTACTTATTTTCTGCATCTTCTTCAGCACCTTATTTTCTTCCTCAGGGTTCTCTCCCAACAACTTCACTTGTTAAAACATATCCATGCATTTCATTCCAAAGGAGCTTAGCTTGTAAAGTTACATTTCAAAATAGTCAAAATCATGCTCCCATTTCTAGGTCAGTAAGAGGCTTGAATTACAGGAGATTGCTCATGTCTTTAGCCAGTCAGGTTTTGATGTGTGTAAGATACCAAGACATCACTATGGAAACCACAGGTTGTAGCAGGAGGTACAATGACTCAGCAGGTGGCACTTCTCTTCATGGCACTAACATCAAATGCTCTGACAAGACAAACACCATACAATGGTTGTTTTATTTGTTCAGTGGCACATAAACTTGACAGTTCTCTATGCTAAGATGTAACCAGGTTTTAGACCAGCCAAAACTCGAATATGAAAAGCAAAAAAAGAAAAAGATCAGAGTCAACTGGCACAAAAGAAAGAAAAAGCACACATAACCGAAATGTTTACTATTAAACTAGAGCCAGTACTTTTATTTATATATTTCCCAAATCAAAAATAACAAATAATTATACATTGGAACTGGTAGGACCACCAAATACTATTTCACAACTGCCACTACATGCTTCTTCCTCTCTGACACAATTGGCACAGATCCAGGCTTGCTGTGTTTACGACGATTTATTTCCCTAGAGATAAACAAAATATATACATATAAGCAAGTTTACGAGAAATCATGTTAGTCAAAGAAAACTGTCTAAAAGAAAATCATAAAGCATTTTCTTTCACTAGAAAAACAACCATTGAAAAAAAAATTTCACAATGAACATTAGGTAAAAGTACCTAACTAGAAATAACTTGTTTTTATTGTATTACCTATCAGTGTTTTTACTAAATTAAAAAAAAAAATACCTGCCAGTTATTGTGATATAAAAATGAATCAATTCCAAAATGTACTCAAAGACAGCAACATAAGTCATTTGTGAGACTAATTAAAAAAAAAAACCCAGAACTCTATCAGTATTTCTGTTATATTTTGCATTAATTCAAGTGTTACAAAGAAAATATTCCATAGAAGAAATGGTGTGTGTGTGTTGGGGGCGGTGGGGAGTTCTGCTTTAGATTCAAATGTTAAGATCTTTAGCTGGGCACAGTGGCACGAGCCTGGAGTCCCAGCTATTTAGGAAGATAAGGTGGCAGATCACTTGAGCCCTGGAATTCAAACAAAACAGAACAAAACAAAAGGACAAAATGTTAATTTCGAGTGTTATGAAAAAGTACATTATGAAATTTTTTATTTAAGAAATGGGCTGGCAGTGTGGCTCAAGTGGTAGAATGTCTGTCTAGCAAGTATGAGACCCTGAGTTCCAACCTCAGTACCACCACCAAAAAAAAAAGGGTAATACGTATATGTTACATATGTTATATATGTAAAGCACATAATGTATTATGAATTCTTTGATTTTTTCTTTTTTGCGACAGGGTCTCACTATGTAGTCCAGGCTGGCTTTTCACTCATGATCCTCTTTTCTCAGACTCCCAATTTCTGGGATTGCAGGCATGTACTACCATGCCTGGCTTCCTTGAATTCTTTCACTTGGAAAATACACAATATCTTATAATTACACCTATACTGGAAATCATTTCTTAAACATTATCTATTTATAAAAGTTTTTAAATAGAAGTGTTTTCTTATTTTGATAATTTGTTTTCATTTGTCCTTTAACATATTCTCAAAAATAAGTAATAGAAATTCTCATATTCTTGAATAATCATTGCTTCCCCCTTTATTAATAAAAGGGAGGGGAAAGCAGCCCAGAAGTGTTTGAAGACATCGCTAATGTACGAAGAACATAAACTACTCTGCTGAAAGGAAGTTTTTGTTTATGGTAAGATGATAGGAGGAAATCAGAAAAGGACTCTGAGAAACAGCCAAATGTCTCACACATACTTTCGCCGACGAGCTTCCTTCATGATGCGCTGCTCCTGAATCTGGCTATAGATAGACTTTGGTAAATGTCGATGACGAGCAATACGTTTTACAAGAGGATGATACTGAAATTTCTCCTTTAACTTCTGGTTATAATCCTTGGCTGCTTTTTCTCGTGATGTGAGCTGGAAAAAATGCATTTTGGTATTTTAATGAATACGGTATTCTCTGTTTTGTTTTGCCTCAGTATAACAAAGCTAGGAAGTATCCTCTGAAAAACTAGCTTTTATGAGGGCAACCAGTATTGCCAATGTGTGTGCCCTTTACAAAGTCAAGCACTGAGCTTCCTTTTAGGTAGTGTGCTCACAATGTTGGCAGATGCCACCAAGTGAAATGAAGTAGAGCTGGAGGGGTAGGGGCTATGTGTACCACTGAGGTGACCATTAGGCAAAAAGAACAGAAAAAAGCTCCTAAATCAATCACTTGATTTTTATTTTGTATAAATAACTATGCAAACACGAAAGAAAATTATTTGATTCTGTAACAACTGGGTTTGGTTAAATATTAAGGATGATACAAATGAAAACATTTAATAATGAACCAAACCCTAAGCACAGTAGAATTCTTATCAATCATTAAAATAGAATTGTCTTTGATTATTGCTTATCATCTTTATTTTCCTATTGAGGATAAAAAAAATTTATACCTAACCTTTTCCTTCTTAAATTTAATAGTTGTTTTTGATATAAACAGTCTGCATGCTTTTCAAAAAATGTGGGACACTTGGAGAAACATCAAAAACAAAACAAAAATAAGCCATAATCTTATGACCCAGTGGCAGCTGGCCAATAACAATATTTGCTGTATTTTCACTGACTCCTTTTGAAAGTCGGAAGTCTTCGATATTTACTTTCATTATCAAACACCTGATTTAACAAAGGCACTCTGATGGTGTCTTTGACACGAAAAAATAATCAACAGAACCTTATTAATCAAGAGCCTTGTTTGTTTGTTGCTAATGTTTCTTTTTGTCACAATGCTGTCAATTTGATAAAAGTATCTCAAGTACCTCAAATAAATCTCTTTACAATATAATAATATCCAATAAGAAACTAGCTTTATGAAAATGAAAGAAAATGGGATTTCTTACCACACCCAATTTTTCAGAAGCATTAGCTTTCCACAGACGAATGTTCATTTCATCAGATCCACACATAATGTATTTACTGTCAGAAGTCCATTTTACACAGATAACATGTTGCATTCGCTTTGTGTGATAGACTTCCCTACAGAAGAGGAATTATGTCATACATGAAATCACCTCTTCAACTATTTTCCTTGGTTCAGATTTTCCTTAACCACTGCCTAACAAGTATTAGGACATCATTTTTGAGTCCTGAGAGACTATAAAAGGAAAATTCAATTTCATTTCAATATATTTTTACTGAACCCCAACAATAAGGTTCTATGCTAAGTGCTGGAGAATTAAAAAAAAATTCCTGCTCTAAAATAATTTATAATTCAATTAGAGAAATAAACTAAGCCAAATCATATGTGTAGAAAATTTCACAAAATAACTGAAAGCATAAAATGCAAATAAAATTTAATCTTAAAATGAGGGTAACTTTGTAACCGTAAGAAATGGCTTGCTCTTACTAAGTCCTTACCCATCCTCAATTCAATTCAGGTTAACAACCACACTTTCCCATATTTTACTGGAAAATAAAAGTAATACAATGGCATAAAGAACACATCCTGATATGCTCAACCTACTGTCTTATTTTTGTTTTGGGCACATTGTTTTAAAAGCTTAATTGAAGTGAGAGTTGATTTACATGTGTGAAGATAAAGGGAAAAGGGAAGATTACAAAAGTGTCTGATAGGTTGAGGTAAGAATCATTTAATAAATGGAGATGTCAAATATCATACCTATTTGGAAAAGTTGTGAAACCTGCTAAGTGAATTCACAGAAGATACTATATTGGGAAGTGTTATGAAGAGCATTAAAAAGCAAGTAAAAGATAAGATCGGAGAAAATAAGAAACAGGTTCAACAAATTATTCACAGTAAAAGAAATCTCACAGAGCATAAACAAACTAAATATAATTCATATCTATAAAAATATCTCAAAAGTATACTCACAAAACTGGTTTTTTGCACTGCCTAAGAGATGTACTTTAGTCACTATGATAAACAAGAAATTTATTTATTGGCTGTTCTGGAGTCTGAACTCACTCAGGGCTTTGTGCTTGCGAAACAGGCACTCTACTGCTTGAGAGACACTTTTAGCCCTTTTTTGCTCTGGCTATATGGAGATAGGGTCCTTATTTTTGCCCAGGCCAGCCAGGAGCATGATCCTCCTATTTATGCTTCCCACCATCACTGGGATGGCAAGCATGCTACACTGTACCCAGCTTTTTCCCACTGAGATGGGGTCCTGTAAACTTTTTTTGCTGAGGTGAGCCTGGAACCATGATTTACCTGTCTCAGCCTCTCAAGTAGCTTGGGATAAGAGGCACATACCACTGTGCCCAGCTAATGGTTGAGATGGAGTCTTGTGAACTTTTTGCCTGGGTTGACCTCAAACACTGATTCTCCTGATCTCAGCCTCCCAAGTATTACAGGTGTGAGCCACTAGGCTCAGGCTGAGAAATTTAAAGAGAGAAAGATGCTTGGAAAGAACAGCCCCTTAAAATGAAAACTGGATGACATGGGCTGCTTTTTCCTCTTCCTGTCAATATTCTGCCTTTATAACACCCATTTCTTAATATTTCTTACTTTCTTATGAACCCCTCCCCTTTCCTAAAGCAATGTAATGAGTTTAAATGTATGGAAATTTGATTAGGCTTCACTAACTGTTAAAAATAACTTGTTCATGTAGTAGACTAGTTGAATCCAATGGTCAGTCATTTAACCAACTTAGAATCCTCTTTTTGGTAAACTATGCAGTGTTCTTAAATTCTTGTTCACATATATGCTAGATTTATAAAGCTCACTGAAAGTTGTAATTTTAGGAAACAACTACATTTTAAAAACTTGTAAAAACTTTTTTACAGAATTCTGGAATAAGGTGAGTTTTATAGCTGGACCTGAATTCAGTGGCCTATAATGGCTTTGGAATCATTCAGCTTAATCTCAGTTGCTGGGCCCATGGGCCAGAGGTACCTACACATCCCATTTCTCTGACGCATTTTCTTCCCATTCTTTGTCTGCTTGTATGTTAAGTATTGTCCTTCTACTTTCAGGAGTTCTGGTGCCAAGAAATGATTGAAAGCCACAGTCTCTTGATTCTTAACACCTTCCAAAGTAAGAATGGAAGTTATCAGCCTTGCTTTGAGCCAACTAAGTAATCCCAACAACCCATTCATGGCAATGTGAAGAATATCAAGGCAGTTGCAAAGGAAGGAACAGATACATAATAACCACTGTTAGGAGTTCTACAATGGAGTTGATGAAATGAAGATCAAAGTCATGAGAATATTCTCATTAGTATGTGTCTGACACAAGTACCCCTGTAATCAAATAAACTGTGATGATGACAATTATTTGCTGACAATCAACAATGATATATGATTTTGAGAAGCAACATGGCTTCTGTGAATCAGTAGAGAAAAATGCAACAACCATAAGTTAAAACACTGAAGAATTAGATGAGCAGATTGGCTATGACCAAAAAAGGTACTGAATAGTTGCTTGACTTTCAGGAGGCACTGTGTAAAAAGTTCTTTTAGTGATGAATACAGGGCTGAGAAGAGGCTAAAGCAAGTGAAGTACCCACAGTGTGAACGTCAAGGAGGCATTCATTCTCAGGTTGGGACAGATACAGGATCAGCACTTGCACAACCCCAAAAGAATGAGTAACTAACTCCTTAAGTTCCATACTCCATGAATCTCACTTGTCCTCCCCTAGTCCTATCTTGCTGGAACAGAAAGAGGGTGAATCAGGAAAAAGACAGGGTGTGACTTTGAAAATAAACATCATTCTTCCAGAAGGTACAAAAGCCTTCTGCGCTACAGTAGCGAGGTTAGCTTAACATTAGAAATAATGATCAAAATTCTCAGCATTGCACTAAAATGGCAAGATGTCTTTATCCTGTGGTAGCTATACTACCAAACTGAACAGTTTAGATTTTTTAAAAGTGAGAAAAGGGTTCCAGAAAGATTCTCTGCAACCATCAACCATTAGGTAAGTTGCATTTTGCCATCTACATAACACTGTCCTCTAGTACAGCTTACCATCTCCCAACCCTCATCACATAGGTTGTCTTCTTTCCTTTCCCATTTACTCCTTGTCACCTTTCCTTTTCTACTACCTCTAGTAATTCCGTGTTACCTTTTACCAAGTTGGACTTTACTCTATCTAACTATAATTTTATCAAGCAAGACTAAGTCACTCAACCACGTATGAGTGTATGTATGCATGTACATGTATGCATGAGTGTATATACTGTATTTAAGAGAGATTATTAACTTAGGTTATTTTATTTTACAATTTATATTTTAATATATAGTTATCATTACATTAAAATGGAAGTGGTCATATTTTTTTGAATGACATTAACAATTCTTTGTCGTTAAGTTTTACTACCGTAGGTCAGATTGGCCTTGAACTCATGATTTTAGTGCCTCTACCTCTGATTGCTGGCATTAAAGGCATGTACCACCATACCTGACTATCATGCTTTGTGGAAAGATTTCCTTCAATTTACTTGAATTTGCTTTATGCATACTTCCAGGAACTCATCTAAGGCATTATTAAGGAACAGTGAGAATGTGTATGAAAATGCATACCACACAGGGGGCTGTATCTGATACAAGAGTTAGATTTCAAAGTCAGCCAGTAAAGGGACTGGGGGTGTAGCTCAGTAGCAAAACTGCTTGCCTAGCATGCACAAAGCTCTGAGTTTAATCTCCAGTACTATAAAAAAACAAAGTAAATTAGTCAGTAAAGCAAAACATCAAGTAGAAAATTACCCTTGAAAACTCCTTAAAATGCCTTAGTTTCTAGGAGATACCTCAAAATAAAAATGATATAATACAGATGTATAAATTTAAACACTTATATAAATATATGGATAAGTATATGTACTGTACTGTATTTAGTAACCTATAAAATGTAGTAGAAAGCCAAGATGTACAAAACAAATCAAATCTTAAGACACCAGAATCATACTCCATGTGCTTATAGAATAAGATACACAAATGTGACTACGGGATAGTTGAGTGTTCAAACTCCCACCTCTTGATTCATCAGGGTAGACACCCACTAAAATGAAAAGAAAGAGTGGTTTTGACAATTTAAACTTTTCCTCTTTTTTAAAATTTCTGCATTGGTAGAATTTGAATGAGTAAAACAGTATCTGGTAGTAGTCATTAAGTGGTCTTAAACTGTATTAGGGCAAAACTTACCTATTCAATTAAAGAAACTATCTTGTAGGCTAATGCTGTGCTCAAAGATGATACTCCAAGTCACAATATTTGGGTGTGAGCTCCATCAGTACACATAACCAGGCACGCTCTCAGAAAAGATAAATGATCAGGCCAAAAATATAAATGGCTTACTGGTAGTCACATACCTGCTTCGACTTCTGTCCACAGGAAAGATTCGAATAGATTTATCAAAACTAGCAGACACAAACTCTTTCCCAGTGGGAGAGTAGTCCACATCCAGCACTGCAGATACATGATCCATATGGACCATAACAGGAGTGTCTAGTGAACGCATATCAAAAGTGTATAAGCTGTAAAAGAATTGTTAAATATTTAATTCAAATTTCTAGAAAGAAGCCATATACCATACTAAAAGATACAAGTAAAAGTAAGACTCACAAGCTAAATAATGCACATCTAAATAAATAGCTCAACTCTGTACACAGGCAGGTGAGGGACAGGGGAAAATAACCAACAACGCTTATTACTCTTTAAGATTACACACTTACAAATACACATACACACTTCCCTCCTTATAAATATAAATCTCATGGTAGAAAATGTGGAAATTAAAAAAAAAAAGTACAGAAGTTACCTTTAATCCCATCATGCAGAAAGTTGATTAACAATGAAATTTTTAAGTCTTTTTGCTATATTATTTGAACATACTTTTTAATAAAATTGAGCTAATTCTGTACTAGCTTTATATTCTGATATTTCGTTAGCATATTATGAGCATTTACATGTATTATTAAATCTTTGAAAACATTTTATGACTATATATTTAGTAAGTTAAAATAACTTATTTCCATTTTTGATAGTTTCCAATTTTATTATAAAATGCTTAAATGAAATCCTGATATTTCAATTGACATTCCATTTTTAATTGAATGCAACAGATTCAATTAAATCTTGACAGATTCCTACAAGTAGGACTATTACAAAGGCTTGAGCATTTTTAAAGCCTGACTAAAGTTGCTAAATGATTTCCAACAAAGTTGCATTAATTTATACTCCTAGCAATGACAAATAAGAGGACAACTTTTCAAAGAATGTATCAAAATTAGAAAACTATACTTTATATGCCAATGGGAAAACAACTGACATTATGAGTTTCAAGATTTAAAAATTCTTAATTAATTGGTAAAAGAATAGTACTCCAAACGAGCCAACACAGACAAGTTCCTAATACCTAAATATTTCAAAATGCTAAGATTATTCAGTGAAGTTTCAGGAAAAGAAGCTATCTTTTCTCAAAGTATTTCCTTAGAGTTATACATAAAAGGAAAATATAGTTACTCTATAATAGCAGCTTTTTTTGGGGGTGGTATTGGGGTTTGAACTCAGGGCTTCACACTTGCTAAGCAGGCACTCAACCACTTGAGCCACTCCACCAGCTAGTTACTCTATAATAGAAAAGCCTGACAGATACCACCTTAATTAAGGTTCGTATTATCAGTAGTAAGACACTGATAGCCAATCCATGTATGATATACTAAGAGCAAATCAATTTTGGTGGTACTCTTGACAAAAAACACATAACCTCAATCTAATAATGAAAAATCATTATGTAAACCCAAATTAAGGGCAGGCTACAAAATAACTTACAAGTAAGTCCTCTTTAAAAGTACTAAGGTATTATGGAGCAAATGTTTCTATCCTCTCAAAACTCTTATGATAAAATCTAATCTCCAATGTGATAGTATCTGAAAGTGGGGCCTTTGGTAGGGAATAAGGCCATACGGGTTGAGCCCCCATGATGGAAGAAGTCAGAGTTGGCTAGAGGAAGGTGGCTGTCTGCAATCTGGAAAGAGCCCTCATTAGAACCTGTCTGTGGTGGCATCTTACTCTCCAATTACCAGCCTCTGAAATTGTAAAAAGAGAAAAAAAAATGTTGCTTAAACTACTCAATCTATGGCAATTGTTATAGCAACCTCAACTAAGATGTAAGATGATAAAAAGAAAAAACTGAGGGACAGTCACAGATTGAGTAGACTAAGGAGACATGCCAATTAAATGCAATATGGGATCCTGAAACAGAAAAAGAATAGTGGTGATGCAATAAAGCCTGTAGTTCAGTTAATAGTATTATATTAATTTCCTGGTTTTGCTAATTCAATTATGATTATGTAAGAAATTAACCTCAGGGAAAGTTGGTAACAAGTAGTATTTTCGAAACTTTTCAGTAAGCCTAAAATTATAAAGTAAAATGTTTTAAAAATCTACTACTCCAAAAGAGTATTTTAAAAGTACCATTACTAAGAAAAGGCATTAATAACTTTTGTCACAAATGACAAAACATTCTAAATGCCATGATGCTTTTATCAAAAGATAAACCATGCTGAACATGGTGGTACACAGCTATAATCCCATTACTCAGGAGACTGAGGCAGGAGGATCATGAATCAAGGCCAGCCTGGGCTACATAAATAAACCAAGCCATGTTCTGTTTTAAAAATCTCTGAACACACTATAGGGTAGACAGAAAAGGTCATACTGCCACACTAATTTTTTGAGCAGTGGTTCTCAGCAAGGTTTTTTTTTTAGTAAATAGTCTTATTTCTACAGGGGAAAAGGGATATAAATTTATTCAAATTCTAAGCAAACACCCTTTTGGATGAAAAAATTTTAAAGAAAGTTCTGAGATTTTTTTATTACAAATTTGTCTTTTTTTTTCTTTTTGTACTACTGGGGTTTTGAACTCATTGCCTAAAGCTTGCTAGGCAGGCACTCTACCACTTGAGCCACACCCTCAGTCCTTCTTTTCCTTTCTTTCTTCTATTTTTTTTTTTTTTAAATTTGAGACAGGGTCTCACTAGTAGCCCAGGCTGGCCTTACACTTGCTAGGAAGCCCAGGCTGGCTTCACAGTGGAGATTCTTGTCTTGGTCTCCACAGTGCCGGAATTACAGATGTCTTTATTACCACTCCTAGCCAAAACCTCACTCTTACAGATAATAAAACTATATAACACAGAGTTAGTTTAAATGACTCACCCAAACTTTCACAGTTATTACTAATGGGCTTAGACTTGAACTTGTTTCTAATTCAGCATGATTAGAATATTTAAAAGGAAATATTTACAAATGCTGAAAAGAGACATCATAGCAAGATCATTTTTAAGAGCAGTTATGAAACACTCTAGCAGTCACTTCTTTTAAGGGATATGCTCTTTGTTTTAGGTGCCAAATGTAACTCTTCTCAAGGCAAGAAATGAGAAACTCCAAATATGAAAAAAAGATAATCCTGTCAAAGCACTTATGAGAATGTACTTTAGAAACCTTAATAAAGGGGTCACAACAATGCAGTATTACTCATCTTTTATTGCCTTTAATTGGAACAATACCATGTAACTTCAAAACATAAATAAAGACAAAGAAGGGCTTCAATTAATGTGGATGGGGCACTACTAGTTCAGGAGAGTCCAACTGTGCTTCTTTTTAGTACAGAAAGTAGTGAGGTTATTTTAGTTGGTACCAATAAAACATCGTGTAATAAATCTCATTTATGAGCTAATACTACCATTTATGTTTTTTAGAACTATATAATGGAAAAAGAGAATTTAAATACAGACAACCTGAACTTCAATCCACCCACAAACTTGTACCTTCTCAAAAAAACAAAACAAAACAAAAAAACCCCATATATTATAAATATTAAGAGTATTTTTCAGAGGTTTATCTCTCTACTTCAGTACCCCCCAAAAGGGATAGCATAATGTCCACCCACTTTACAACAACACTGTAAAGATGAAATAAGACAGGCAATGTACAAATGCTTCAACAAGTGTTGAAGCATTACATCAGGATTCACAGTCACATCCTGCTAAGTCAAGTTTACAGAGTCATGGAACAATATATTTGCCAATATTAAGCTAAATATTTAAACTATGACTTTCCTTTTCTCTACAGACATAATGGTGACAGTGCATAGCATGACTTCGTGAGTAGGAGCTGAAGAACTAAAAATACTTGTAGGCAGATATTGTTTACATAAAACATGTATGGTTCAGTTGTAGACTATGTGGTCTACATCAGAGATTACCCATCTTCTTCTATAATGAGCAGATCATAAACATTTTTGGCTAAGGGAACCATAAGATCTCTGTCGTAACTACTGAACTCAGGCATTACAGCATAAAAACAACCATAACTAATACGTAAGTAAATACATGTGGCCATATTACAATAAAACTATAAAAATAGGCAGCAGATAGGATTTGATCCACTGGATGTAGTTTGCTGTCCCTTGTCTACATCATTCTGAAAACTGAAAAAATATTTTTTTCTAAGCTCTTCTCTAATTTGGGAAACTACTTTAGAAAAACAAATCACATACAAGTTTTTTAACTTAAATGTGAAGGTACACTTATCTAGTACAACATATTATACTAGTAATTCTTATGCAATTGAGCCATTTCTAGTAGAAACAAGTTTTTAAGAGAGAGAAACTTACTTGTAATCTTCATTTGCTGCAGTAAAAATAAAAGCTTCCATAGGATTCCAACAGATTGTATTTGTTCTCATATCTAAGATAACCTGAGAAAGGAAACATATACTATCCTGTTACCATTAAATTAATTACCTCTAAAATGGATAAATGTCCTACATCATTCCTTCTTTTTTCAATTGATTTAAGCAAATATTTAATAAACATATGCATAATACACAGCTCAAAGCAACTGGAAATCAATCAATAACTGTTTCCTAAAAATACAGGCAGAGTAATAAATATGAAAGAGCAAAATGATTAATACCTAGTCCTCTCTGCACTTCAAGTAATTTACAGTTTAGAGCTAGAAGAGTGGCTCAAGTGGTAGAGTGCCTGCCTAGCAAGCACAAGGCCCTGAGTTCAAACCCCAGTGCCACCACTACAAAAAAAAAAAAAAAAACAAGTAATTTACAGTTTAGTCAGGAATATAAGACATACATAAAGTTAAGATACAAATAATAAAGCAATATATGACTAACTATCAAATTTGGGACAAAAGTAATGATTAGCTTATTGTTAAAGCACAGAAAAAATGTTTCAACAGACAAGCATAATTTAACCTGACCTACGATGACCTAATTTAGTGTTTCTCAATGCTGTGCTTAAGTATTTTGGGAGAGAAAATCTGTTGTGTGTGACTGTCTATTGTAGGATGTTCAGCTCTCAGGAACCTTCCCACTAACTTTTCTTCTCACATTTTCAAAACTACACTTTATGGGGGAGGAGTGTAACTCTTGATTGAGAACTGTAATATGAAGAAAAGAAAAAAGGAGAAACATTGACAGTTTACAGTTCGAACAAGCAGACAAAATACCCCAAAACAACAACCACAACAAAATAAGACACTAACAGGGGCTGCTGACACATGCTTGTAATACTAATTCCTTGTGAGGCTGAGAATGGGAGGATCGAGGTTCTAGGCCAGCCTGGGCAAATAGTTCACGAGACCCCATTTCCAAAATAACCAGAGCAAAATGGACTGGAGGTATGCCTCAAATGGTAGAGTGCTTCCTTTCTAATCATGAAGCCTTAAGTTCAAATCTCAGTCCCAGCAAAAGAAAAAAAATTAGCAGAGTAGCAGTGTCCATTAATCTCTGCATGTGACAAATTCCAATTAAATGTTACCTTACTGACTGAAACAAATAAATACAGTGAAAGCCAGGCTACAATTATTTTCTTTAATCTACAAGTAATGGAACATAGGCTGGGGGCATGGCTTAAGTGGTAGAGCATTGCCTAATAAGCAAAGGTCCTGAGTTAAACCCCCAGTACAGCAAATAAATAAATGCAATGGAACATCATTAAAAACAGAATGGGGACAGGGTGAGGGATTACCATTTAGTAAACTAGAATTTTATGTTGGCATTCTGTTAAATGCTAAAGGTAGCATGGTTTATTCTTATCAACATTGTGCAAGATAGTGGTCAATGGCACCATTTTACAATAGAAACATGGATTAAGTTACCCATAAATTTAACATTAAAGTTCATCCAAAACTTTCCCAATATTGCGCAAATGAATGAGTGAAATTATTAAAGTGGCACTTTGGAAAAGTTACATTTATTTCAAACTTCAATAGATGTATTCTATGCCTAATAGTCTGAGTTTACCACATTGTATGAAAACGATTTAAGAAGAGAGGATGGGCACTGGTGGCTCATGCCTGTAATCCTAGCTACTCAGAAGCAGAGATCAGGAGGACCACGATTTGAAGCCAGCCTGGGGAAACAGTTGTTGGACCCTATTTCAAAAATACTCATCACAGAAACGGGCTGGCAGAGTGGCTCAAGGTGAAGGCCCTGAGGTCAGCCCCAATAACACACACACACACACACACACACACACACACACACACACACACACACACACAAATTAAAAATTTAAGAACAAAAAGTATATTAAAAGCATTCCTTCCTCCTTCCCAAGTCCCCTCCCTTTCTTTTTTTTTTTTTTGATGCTGGGCATCAAACCTAGCACCATGCACATGCTAGGCAAGCTACTCTCCCAAACACATTTCATTTACATGTGGCCTATGACAATGACCTCATGGCACAGAAGTGTTATCTAGTCCTTCTTGTGGCCTCACAATTGTACTAATACTTGATCAACTTTATACGCTATTACTTAAAATGGTATTCCTCCCTTTACCTGAAGACAATTATTTTTCTCACTCTCAAAAATCAACTTAAGGTTGTATATATGCTTTAATATCTAAGTCCTGGAATGACTATCTGAGAACTGCTGGAAAGTCTGTCATTTTGAAAAACATAGTGCTTGTCTAGACAAAATGTCAAACTAGTAACCATCAGCATGTAACTAAACAAAGCTGGTTATATGAGTGAGTTCTAAAACTTTCTGGAATAAAATATTGCACAGGTCCTATGTGAATCATGGGGCCTAAAACATTACTACATTGTTAAGGAATGGAATGTATTTTCTTTCAGTTAGTAACTTTCAACTCAATATTTACTAATTAGATGGCTAAAATTTACTGGCATTAAGGAAAACACAAGAAATTTAAGGATCTCTAAAAAGCAATGGGGAGCTCAGAGAATACCACTATCATTCTGGGGGTGGAAGAATATGACAAAGAAAAATATTTATTCTGAAAAGCATTTTCTCCATATTTTCAGTCACTTGATTTACAGAGGAATGCATTAACAATTGTATAAAGCAAAGGCAAAATTGGAAAGTTACCTTTTTCAGAGGAGTGGCTTGCCTCATATCATACAATACTATATTCCTGTCAGAAGCACAACTTCCCAAAAGAAATGTCTAAAATAATTACAATAATCACCAATTAAAAGTCAGGCATGGCAGCAAACCACATCTATTCAATACACAAATGATTTAATTATCCTTCATATTATGTTAAAATAACAAGGTGTAAATTAAAACCCATTTTATGAGTGTACAATAAATCATCCATAATCTCATCAACCTAAGTCAAGCATTTTCACTGTTAAATATCCATGGATGTATTTTAGATGCCAGTGGTGACAGTATACAGATATTATATTATATACTCATAATAGAACATAGTTTGCTTACCTGTTCAACTTTATGGTTTACTATTATAAATAACATACCAGTAAATATTTTCCCACATTTAAATCTTCTTTTCAATTATTTCCTTAGAATAAAATCTCAGGAGTGCATCACTGAACCAAAATGTACAAATAATTTTATGGCTTTTGAAATTTAGGGGTATTTTCAAAAGAGCTGTACCAATATACACTGCAATGTGGGACTTTGCCAATTTTACTCAAACTGAGCAGCATTAGGTAGTGCCACAGAAATGTTAGTATCTGCATACTAGTATTTCCTAAACACATAAATGTTCTGCTTAATAGAAGCTAAACATTCCCTTACATTTACTAACTCTGTATAAATTAAGCCTGTCCTTTGTCCAACTGTTATGTTTTAAATATTTGCTTAATTTCTAAGTCAGTTTTAATCATGCAAAGCACTTACATAACCTTGGTGTTAAGTAAAAATAAGCTCTCTACCATCCAGTAGAGCCCAGAATTCCACTCTGTATAGCCCAATTCCTCCTTACTCATGATTCTTGACACCCATGGCCCTTGGCTTCTTTCTGCCTACTCTTACATCCTATTGCAAGTATAGCAGGAACAAGAAGAGTTATTTACTAAATAGCTGTATGGCCAGCTAACTGCTACTACTGTGTATACCCAATTCAAATAAAACACCATCAAGCTAATGCTACAACCATGATCTCGTCTCAATCCTTTCCAAAGCCTCCTGTCTTCAATTACTGCCTCTCTGATAACTCTTCTAGTTACCCCTCTCAGTCTTTCTTGGGTTTTCATTATGTCCCCTCAGAGTATGACCAAGTTACATTTCTGAAAACAAAGACTTAGATCTGAGCAAAGCAAAATATTCTGTCTAGACTGAAAGTCAATTTTCACACTGTAGAACGTGGCAATGCTCAGCATAAATTTGGCTTTACCAGGACTTTAAGCTTCAATATTTTAACAAAAAATTAATTATTAATGATTAAAGGAGACATTTGTTCAGCAACATGTACTTTCCATTAAGCTTAATATATAAAAGGCATACACACCATTTGCTTTATCACTAAGTCAGTTCATAAAGTTAAAAAAAACCCGCAGCTGAACAAACAGAGCTAGTTGGAAAAACATGGTCACTAGATCATGACTGATAATTAATTATGATTTCACAATGGCCTTCAGTTCTTTTGACAAAGATGCTCACCAAAACAGAGAAGCAAAGGATTTTGTCTAATCCTTTAAAAAGTAGGAATCAACTGTCTGAGTTAATTTTTTTTCTTTTATATATAGTAATAACATGACCATCTTGAATTTAGGTAGCACTTTTAAAAAATGCTCATACATTTACACTCACAACAAACTGATGAGGTACACTGAGAGATACAAACTCTTTTAAGAAACAAACATACAGAAGAATTGTAACTTGGATAAGATCAATGCAAAAGCAGGCTGTCAGAAAATACTTTCAACTGAGCTCCACACCAAGTTGGACATAAAATGTTCTTACAAATTACTTGTATTTGTAGTCTGTTTCTATTCAGTGTCACCTTGGCCCTGCTCTGCAAAGCTGCCTTGCCACTTTAGGTCATATCTTACTTCTATAACCAAGGAAGATGGGGGATGGAATGAGGAAGATACAATACAGATAGATACTTTAGACCAGGGACCAGTAAATTTTTTTCTGTAAAATGTCAGAAAGTATTTTAGGCTTTGTAGGCCATGCGGTTTCTGGTGACTACTCAACCTACCATTATGTTATAAAAGTAGCTACAGAAAATATGTAAGCAAGAGGCCTTATCTGTAGTCTAAGAAATTTTATTAAAAACAGGCAGTGGGCCACATCTGGTTCACAGATTGCAGTTTGCCAACCTTGGCTCTAGACTATATCCTCTCCCAGAAAGGAGAAAATAGGCACATGCTGGTGAAAGGAAGGGTATCCTCTGATTGTCTGCCTTCCTGGAAATACCACAAAGCCAAGTTTACATTTACTGCACACCTCATGTTCCAATACACCACAATAACAATCTGTATATCCTGATACTTTCACTTAATCTTTTTTCCCTCTTTTTACCAGTTTGAATTGCTGAGAGTATGGAACTTACATATCGGGATATTCTCTTATAGCACCTAACAAGATAGTCTCCCGGTATCTTCTAAAATCAGCTGATACATATAGTGCTTCCCCTTTCTTTAAGGAAAAAGCATCACTCTTCTGAACAATGAGGTTCATTTATTGCTACATACAGTAGATCCTTGGTATAAGCAGGTAGATGATTGCAAGGAGATTGCTGTTGATGAAAAACTGCCAATGCTCAGAATTCAGTGCTGTCCTGTGGATGCTTGATTCACCTTTCCCAAAATGCCGGCCAACTTCTACTAAAGGCATGCTACCTTTCAACAAATCTAAAATTTTCACTTTTTTCCTAAATTAAGCATACTAACCTTTACCTGGCCTTTTGGGCACTATTTGCTCTGTGGGAGGCAAATTTTCACAAAATGAAGGGCAGAGAAACATCCAGAGGATCACACAATAATTTAAACACTACTGACAGCAATATGTGACTCACTGAGAGCTTCTTCACATCAACTGAGCTGAGTAATGCACATGTGGGAATCAAAAATTTTTGTTTTTGAAATTTCTTTGGCTTTTTAAAAATTATTTTTTTACTATGTTTGGTTAAAACCACATGTAAAAAAAAATCTATAAATAAGACAGGCTTCCTGTAGCCAGAGAAAGCTCAGAACAAGGTCTAGAATCGAAGGCCTAGATTAGTTGTCAGGCTGGCCTCCATTCCTAAAATGACACATGAACTGATAACACATAGTAGCCAATCTCCGAGTCTTTTCTTAGACTAAGAAGGAACTAGAAATCACAATTCAGACTTCTGAGCAAAAAAATATATAATTCAATAGCAATCATGTATGTTATGGAGTACAAGTACCCTCATGACTTACAAATAGAAAAAACAATGCTCAATGCTCCTTCTTCCAAATTCCAAAAGGGCCAAGAAAAATTATCATCTTCCTAAAAATACAATCTGTAGGACATGAGTGTGGAAGTAATAACTAAAACTAAAGTTAAAAAGTCCTGACTGAGGCTGGTAGTATACACTTGCACTTGAGAGGCTGAAGCATTAAGATCACAAGTTCGACGCCAGTCTGAGCTCATAGTGAGTTTAAAGCCAACTTGATGCACACAGCAAGATTGTCTCAAAACAAATGATACCCCCCAAAAAAAGAAAAGAAAAAAAAAAAGTCCAGTACAGTATTTTCCTGGCTTCTACTCCCGTGAGCATATGCATACTATTCCTTTAATGCTGTTCAACACTGGTTTCTTGGACTAAACTGCAGGCAAACATGTTGAAGTTTGACAGAGCACAGACACAATCTGGAAAACTGACCAAATGCTAGAAAAACCATTAAAAATTAGAAATTCTTTTTATCACACATTCAAGTTTTCTAAACAGAGCTGAAGTTGTTCAACAACAAGCAAATAATAAGCATAACATATTTTTCAAAAGAAACATTACCTCAATTGGGTTAAATTTAACACTATTTATACTGTCAAATCCCCAAGTCATTGAACATATAGGACTGGTTCTTTGTTCATCCCAAATATCTACTTGCTGACCACATGTGGCGAAAGCAGGATCTTTCCAGTGATGATCAATTCCAGTATACACTGTCTTTAAAAGCAAAGAGGTTGTTATAGATGGGTCTATTCACTACTACTTCGAATCTAAAGAATAATATTTTAAGTATATTTATCTACACACACTCTCTTTTTTTTTTTTTTTTAGGAAATCCTTACTCACAAAGAAACTTCTTTCAAGTCTTTTCTTAAGAGGAAAAGAGTATCATAAAGAGGTATAACATTTTTTAAGAATGAAACCTATTTTGTTTTAGGCATTACTAATTTGCTACCATCTGGGACTTATTTCCATCTTATACTCCACCCCTCATGTTCCTTTAAAAATACTTAGAATTTCTTGACACTTAAAGAAGAAAATAAATTCATATTAACCATAATGCTGAAAAAAAGTGACTTAGATTAAATCTAATTTTAGAATTGTGTCTGCTTACTGTAAAAATGGAAGTATTATAAAACATGAGTAGGTCAAATGTTCTGAATTACACTTGTTATAAGTAAACCAGTATCATCTGATTTGCAGAACAGTTTGTAAGAAGATTTATACAAGAAGCATATATTATTACATTTCCTCATTTCCTAAAGAATCCTTTCAATAAGAAATTCTGAGCTTTCTCTAAGATCTACGATGGTAAAACCAGACAGAAGCTGAAGCGTATTTTTTTTTTACCTTACAGATTTTTCCTACTACAATGAACACCAAAGAACTGTTCAAATTCTTTAGCTGCAAAGTACCTCAATTCCATTAAATGTTGCTTAAAATAGGCCAATTATTGCAGATCAAACCCTCTTGGTTCTTATTTTTATTGTTTTCCTTTTAGGGAATTATAACTATGAAATAATATAAAAGAGAAGAATTTTACTAGGCAAAGTATGAATCCATTATTTTGTACCTTTCCTAATATTGTATGCAAGGGCTCTTCTTCTTCTCCATAGCCTGGTCCATCCATTTTCCACTGCTTCACAGTTTTGTCATCACCAACCTAAATATGTTTGTTTCATTATGATATTTATAATGAACAACAGTTATAAATTAAAAGTTCTTAACACATACATCAAATTACAAGCATCTCATCAAAAACCTATCATGTTCTTCCATTCTCACATTCACTGATGCATTTATATCCCACTTTGTTATGATAAAGATTTGGAACAAATTTATAAAGTACATAAAATTAAAAATAAAATAGCATAAGTAGAACAAAGAAGAACAAGAATAGGAGCTAAATTAGGTAATATGGCAAAAAAAAAATACACAGTGGTAAAGATCGCATTTCAATACATCTGAGTATAACTGACAAAAGTTTCTAATAAAGCTGTTTTTTGGGTTTTTTTGAGACAAGATCTTACTATTTAGCCCAGGCTGGCCTGGAACCTCCTGAGTGGTTACAGATGTTTCACCACCATAACCAGCCTAACAGTTACATTTTACTAACATCTCTGAGCTCACACCATTCCAAAACTCAATTCTGGTGCCTGATTCTACTGGGAACCAGTAAAACGTAATTTATGTACCTACGTTTTAGCTGACCTGGCTTGACCCAGTAGGATATTTTAGCATTTATAAAACAGGCTAGACTGTGTACTTCAACACACGTTCCTTTAAGACAGTTTCTCTCAAAGTTTCTGATTAACTACCTGCAAGCTCAAGACTGAATCTCCCTGTGACTAACTAAGCTGCTCTCCATAGCCTACCGAGAACAAGCCTCAGCAGACAATCAATCCTGAAATGGGTTTCACAACATTTTGTACAAACAAGAGTATGTGTCTGGATAGAACAACATCTCAAATTGGAATGCCTTAAGTAATAAAGGTTAATCTTTTATAACATGATATACTAAACATATTAAGTGCTAAAATTATGCCAGCAGGTGTTCATTTGTGTTATCTGTGACAAAACAAACATTAATTTAAAAATATCTGAAAGAAAAGGGAGAAAGGAGTGGTGAATATGAAACATTTTCAGTATTTTATTTTATTTTTGACAGTACTGGAGTTTGTACTCGGCTGTATACCTGTTAAGCAGGCTTTCTACTACTTGAGTAACAACCCCAGTCCTATTATTTATTTATTAGCTTTTCCTTTTTAAATTGATAAAATTGTATGCATTTATGGTGCACAACGTATTTAATACACACATATTGTAGAATGACTAAATCAAGTTAATTAACATATCCATTACCTCATACCTATTTTTTTGTGGTAAGAACACTTAAGATCTACTCTTAATGGTAACTACCATTCTATTCTGTTTCTATGAGTTTGACTTTTTTTTAGATTCCATATGCATTTGTGGTGCTACCTTTATTTCACTTCGCATAATGCCCTCTAAGTTCATCCATGTTGCTGCAAATGTCAGGATTTCCTTCTTAAGGCTGAACAATATTCCACTGTGTACATATACAATTTTTTTTTTTTTGCAATAATGGAATTTGAAGTTGGGGGCCTCAGTGCTTGCTAGGTAGGTACTATTCTACCACTTGAACTATGCCCCAAGTCTTTTTGCTTTTAATTTTTCAGATAGGGTTTGTTTTCCCCCCCTGGGCTGGCATAGACGATACTCCTCCTACCTATAATTCTCTGGGATGACAGCCACTGAGATGGGTGTCTCACTAACTTTTTGCCTGGGCCGGCCTTGAACCATGACACTACTTATCTCTGCCTCCTGAGCAGCTAGTATTACAGGTATGAGCTACCATGTCTGGCCTATGCCGTATTTTCTTTATCCATTTGTCTGCTGACAGACACTTTGGTTGATTCTGTATCTTGACTTGTGAAAAAAACTTCAAATCAGCCTTTCATTCAGTTGAATATTAAAAAAACAGAATAGGGTTGAGGATGTAGCTTATGGTAGAGCATGGTAGAGCAACTGCCTACCATGTACAAAGCCCTGGGTTTGGTCCCCAAAACAGCAAAGAAGAAAAAAAAAATACTTTAGCCGGAAAATTAAATTAATCAATATACCCAGAAGCAACTGCAAGAAGTTGTAGTGGCCATTAGCTCCAGCTTGCCACCCAATTCCTTCTATAACAAATGATAATGCAGTGTCACACAGCTTGTATGCATTCATAGGTTCTCTGAGCTCTCTTGACTACTCCCACAGTTTCCTACTTCCTAGAGGTGAGCATTTTGCAATGTTACTTTCCTGGAATATTTGCATTTCTCTATTTTCCCTTTTACCTCCTCCTATTGATATAGTATAGCTTCAATCATTAATTTTGTATTGGTGATGCCACAGTTAGTTCTGACTTCCCTGCTAAGCTCCAGACCTACATCTATAGAGAGCGGACAGACTCTTCACTCAATCTATTGGCAGTCTAGCTCATCACACTATATTCTTCTCCCTCCTCTAAACTTGTTGATAACTCCTTACTCTCCCTGTTCTATACCAGGAGCTACCATTTTCCTAAGTTCCTCTTAGCTGACAGATTGTCAAGCCCCAAAATGTTACTAAATCCAACCACTACTTTCTATTTTTCATTCCCCAGGAACACTCTTATCATTGTATACCCAGACCATTAAAACAGCCTTCAATCTGACCACTCACTCCTGTTTAATAAATCATCTTGAAGTACAGGCCTGAATCTGTTGTTCTCTTGTTATAAAACCTTCAGTGGACTTGAACTGGTATTTGTACACCAATGTTCATTGCAGCATTATTTGTAACAGTCCAAAAGTGGAAACAATCCAAATATTCATTGATAAATGAATAAATAAACAAAATATGGTATATACATACTATTGCTAAGGTTATTCAACCTTACAAAGGAAGGGAATCCTAACGTGCTACAACATGGATAATCTTGGAAGTCACTGTGATAAGTGGAATTGGTTTTTACACACACACACACACACACACACACACCGTATCATTCTACATTTATAAGGATACAGAATAATCAAATTCACAGAAACAGAAAGCAGAACAGTGACTAACATGTGCTGAAAACAGAAAAGAATGGAGAGTTATTTCTTCACGGATATAGTTTCAGTATGAGAAGATGAAAAAGTTCTAGAGGTGGATAGTGGTGATGGTAACACAATGATGTGATTATACATAATGCCACTGAACTATATACTTTAAAAGTTAAAATGGCAAATTTCATATTATGTATATTTAACACCCTTACACACCTTCAATGATTTCTTACTGATAGATGAAGTACAAATTATTCATCTTAGTGCAGTAAATTTACAGTAAGTCAAACTACCATTCTAGCCTCAACTCCCATTAATCTCACTTCTCAGCATTCAGTACAATATTACTTCAGTGATGTTAAGTATTTATTTACAAGAAGGCAAAACATAAAGTAAGGCTAGACTACATAAAGAAAACAAGGGCTTTCTAAGGTTTAACAAGTGCTTTTGTACTGTGAAACTCCAAAAAGGCCTTGGGACAAACAAATGAACTTGAAAATAATTTATTCAATTAGCTCATTCTTACACATGTTGAAGACCTAATGACTTAATAGTATTACACTTACAGTAAAAAAAGAAGTCCCACAAAAGCGAGTACATATTCCTCGTACAAAACCTTCATGTGCTTGTATTGTACGGATACATTTTCGTTTAGTCAGGTTCCAAATTCTAACCTATGATAAAACATACCAGGAAATATCAGTGACATATATATATATATATAAAATGCTCAGGCACTGAAAAAGAAATTCAACACTAAAAAAGGCTACGAATCACCCTACCAGGAAGCTAAAAACAAAATTCCTTGTATTAAAGTAATTTAATGCATAAGGATAAATGTATCAACAAGTAGAAAAATCAATGTCAAATATTCTGCTGATTCTATTTTAATGTGTTTTGAGGCCTTTTTTCCTTACAAGAGTAGGAAATTAAGTTTGGATTACTAATATCATCAATAACATCATTAATCATTAGTAATATCCTCTGTGAATAAAACTCAAACACCTTTGTGTATTATAGACAATTTATTTATTGTCAAATTGAGGCTTAAGCCCTTGTACTTATAATTTCTTAGATAAGAAACTACTAAATTTATTCTTTCTTGAGAATTAAACTGAAATCAAAGTAAAACCTATAGTAAGTAAAAACTAAAGGAAAAATATTTGTAATATAAAAGGTTTACAGTGACACTTGCCTCTCCATCACATGCCCCAGAAAGGACAGTAGCTAGGCTCTTTGGATACTTTGCCAGGCAATTGACTCCATCTCGGTGACCATCCAAGGAAGCAAGAAATGGTTTTGCAAATACACGTTCCAGTTTGGTAGCATTTAAAGCTCTTACATACTCTCGTGGAACCTCAAAAGGATGTAAGGTAGGATCATAATTTCTTGGAACTAAAATGAGAAAAATTACTCTTAATAACACAATTCATATTTAATATTTCCTATGGAAATCCTCAGCTAATCACTCAATTTGTTATTCAATAAGCCTTCAATTAGAGACACCATTTTATACTTAGCATTATAAAGAATACAAAAGTAGACCTGATATCCACCTCTTTGAAATCACTGGGAAATCATGGAATGCATACATTTTGCAAAATACTTAGACTATATATATTTACACACAGTTTTTCCTTCTATGTGTCCTACTACACCCTTCGCCTGGTTATAATACTTCACAGGCAGGGCTTTGACACATTATTCATTTGTATTCGTTATGGCTAGCACAGTTTCTGGCACAAAACAAGTGCATGACAAACGTTTGCTAAACTGAGCTCCAAGCTGCTTGTGGAGCAGGGAACGTTATTAATCGCTGGTACTAAACACTACACACAATACTGTGATTATGTTATACAACTACTATTCATTGACAATTTTCCACATTTACTTAAAATCACTGACGTATCCAGACACTGTTTCAAACACCTTATATTAACTCATTTAATCTCCACAGTAGTCTATGGTCTAGGTTCTATTACCATCTCCTGTTTTATAGATGGGGAGACTGGGGAACAGAGAGGTTAAGTAACTTGCCCATAAAGTGATGGAGCCAAGATTTAATTTAACCTGGCTCCAAAAGCCATGTTCTTGACTAGTTTGTCAAATGTGTCTCTGCTTAGGAAATAATTCTAAGCCCACACATCTAAAAAACCCTTCACATTCTTCCCCCACAACTTCACCTGCTATCTCTATTTTCTGACTCCCTGTTAAAGGTATATCCAACATGCAATAAAGCTCAGACTTTGATCATTCTTATAAACTCCATCCTCTACATTACCCAATACCAAAACTCATCGTATCTTTTCATTTCTCTTTCTTTTTTTGATAGTACTGGGGTTTGAACTTAGGATTTCACACTTGCTAAGCAGAAGCGTTACCACCCCAGCCACGCCTCCAGTTCATTTTGCTCTGGTTATTTTGGAGATGGGGGTCTTAGCAAACCCCTATTTGCTCAGGATGGCCTCAAACTGGGATCAGCCCAATCTCAGGCTCCCAAATAACTAGGATTACAGATGTGAGCTACCACACACAGCTCACCCTATCTTTGATATATTGAGTCATTCTTCCTTTTCCTCCCTATATCTAATAACTTTGTTTGGGACCTTATTAACTTATACTTGGACTACTGCAATATCATCCCTACTTGACTTTTTGGCAGTTTACGCTATCAGACTAAAAATCCTAAAACACATGTCACTCCCATGCTCAAAACCTTTTAAAGGCTCTCTGCAGTAATTGTCTTCAAACATTTTAGATTTGTGTCCCACTATTAACAGTTTTTGATCCAGTCTCTCATCTTCAACATATGAATATTTAGTGAGAGATATAATGTAAAATGTAATTCAAGATGCTTGTTTTATTGTTAAAAAAAAATCTTGACTGAATACTGTGACAGATTCAGGGCTAGAGGTGTGGCTCAAGCAGTAGAATACCTGCCTAGCAAAGGCGAAGCCCTGAGTTTAAACCTCAGTTCTGTTGGGAAAAAAAAAAGATTCAGAGGTAATAATGTAATTTCAGTTTGTTTCAATGTTTGATATTAATGGCTACTATAGCTGAAAAAGATTCAGGCAGTACTGGCTTTTGCACAGTACCATGATAATGGGAACACATGCACACTGGAACCAATTCCTTCCTTTGCACATTTCTGTGGTGATACATGTGATTTCAGTTATCATGAACCTTCTAAAGAGCAGAATTGGTTCAGTTAATATGGTACTGTAGAAAAGTGAGGTCTGATTGTACTTCACAAAGACAAGCCGATCTAGAGAAGGTATCTGTAGCTAGCAATATTCATTAATGTTATGTTTAGAAATTTTCCATTTCACTTGGTATTTTAATAGTTAAAAAAAAAAAACAAGAAAGTAGATTGTTGTTTCCAAATATTTTCATGTAGGTAAAATAAGTTTTTATAGCTAAGACACTTTAGTCTTTTTTCAGTACAAAATTTTTTAATGGTGAAACATTTCCAAAAATAAATTTTCAAAATAACTTCTGCACAGCACAAGACTTTTTGTAAAATAATAATTTCCTTGCTTATCATTAAAATGGACTCCAAAGGAACAGGTTATGGGTTTTATTTTCTTTAAAAAGAACAAAAACAAAATCTATTTAATATTCATAACTACAGAAAAGTTTGACAAATTTAAGAAATACTTAATTCACTGTTAGGTTCCACAACTCTTTCAAGATACTTGCCATGATAAAACCAAAGAATTTCTGCAAGAAAAAAAGATTTTCATGGTCCTATCACTTTACAAATTATTAACCCCCAATATAGACTACAATATGCTACAATATTCTGAAGATGGAAGCAAGTACCCCTTTATCAGCCCTTCACTCTTCTCAGGATACCTAACATATGGATGAAATGTGGGTATCATTATCAATTCAAATATTATATAAATAAAAATCAATGTTTTTAAAGGTAAGAAATTTAAATTGATATTCTAATTGTTTTTTCCACACTGCAACAGATAGCCCAAAATGCCCATTTTGGAGACCTGTAATTTACTAGAATGAAGTTTAAGCTCCTTTCTGGTCTTTTACAGACTGGCCCCAAACTACCTCTTCAGCTTAAAGTCCTTTCTAAAGCTCAACTCCAACCAGATTTATTCACTGTCACCTAAAACTGCCTTGCATTTTCCCACTCTTGAGTCTTTCTACAGACCATCTCTTCCAAACACTCACTCTTATTTTCATCCTAACCTATATAAATGTTATGCACCCTTTAAAAGTACACTTTGATCATGCCCACCTCTAACTTCATTTATCAGGTCAACAATTAACATTTAACTTAATACTGACGGAGCACCTGCCACACACCACAAGCACTAGTTAAAACTCATTGGGTATATTTATGTAAAAATTCACACATGATAACCAACTGCATCAGAATTACCAAGAAAGTTTTAAAAACATGCACACATGATAACCAACTGCATCAGAATTACCAAGAAAGTTTTAAAAACATGAAATATCCAGTGTTTATCCTAGTGTTTGAATATTGCATAAAATTTACAAGGAAATAACACTTAAGATAAAGCTGAATGAATAAAGAAAGGTAACAAATGCTTTCCTTATTTTATGTTTTGCAGAGCTCCAAAACTTGTATTTTTTCCATTTTGCTAAATAATAACAGGAAGATATTATAGGGCAAAAACAAGACAAGATCAAATCACTTAGAACCTCCTTACATGAAATTCTGTGACCAGCCAGTCATGCATGAATGCATTCACTGTGACAGGTGTTTGTCTAAAAACAGAGCACACACAGAAACGATTGTTTCCCCTCTTTGCGAGCTCAGTCTGATGGGAAAGACAGTTAATAAAAATAATAATCATGAGATAATGTGATTAAATATTCCAACAAAAGTCTAAAAATATGTGATGGACACATAGAAGGGGGTGCTGAAATGGAAGGGGGCACATGCAGGCGCAAGTATGGAAAGATAATTGTTCAGAGAATGCATCCCAGATGATTTATATATAGAGATAGATATATAGATAGATAAATATATACATACTTACGTGTATTAATCCACACACACACATACGTGTTACCACGCACTACTAAAAAAGTGAAATATTTCTCCAGCCTTATTTACGGCTTACCCCTCATTAACACTTCGATGACAGGACCCTTCTTTTCTATGCTTCAGGATCATTCCTGTCTTAAGGCTTTGCACCTGTTGTTCTCTTCACTTAGAACGGTCGGTTCACACACGATTGGTACCTTGTCATTTAAATATCACAAACTATAACTCATAAGCGGTCGACATGAGACCGTAAAGATAAATAAAACTCATTAATTTCATTTTACCCATTCTCCCCTCAAATTTCCAGAAGAGATGTTAAGAGAAAACTAATGGCTTTAAATTTCATCTTTCTTTCTTCTTACATTCAGAAATAGGTCTTTTAAGTAGCAAAGCGAGCAAGCCAACAGGAAAGTTTAAAGAAGCCTTAAACCCGCAACCCACCCGTTTGGCTCATTCAAACCCCACTTTTCACCATTTGGAAGCTGACGACAGAACAGCAGATGGAAAAGGGAGAGGGGGGAGCATGGCTCCCTCTCCCACTTACCACTAGAGGTAATTCTTTTAAAAGGAACCTGAAAAGACCCCATTTGTTACTCAGTTACACAACAACCCTATGTTGGAACTGGTAAAGAACGCGACTGGAACGCTGGCCTCCCCCCACCTTCGCTCGGTAAAAGCTGAGACCTGACCCAAGGAGTCGCGGAAGACGTTCCTTTCCCGCCTCACCTCTCTGTAAGTCAAACTTGGTTTCGCGGACATAATTGTCCGGGTTCCGGCTCAGCATCTTCACTTTCATCTTCGCAGCTCTCCCTCACAGAGTACTCGAGCCTCTCAGTCAGGCTCGGCTCACAGCCGCGACCCACGCACGCCCGACTTCCGCCTTACGCAGACTATTTCCTGTCACGTGACACCTACAACGCGGAAGCCCGCTGGCTCAACTGGCTCCCGCGGCACTCCGTAGTTGTGCCGGGAAAGGTTGGCAGGAGGCGGTTCTTCAGGTGACGCTTTAACATCCACGTTTTCTGTCCTGGGCCCTCAGCTGCTGTGGGCGAGGCAGGGCGGGGACTGACCGAGCTGCTCTCCTCCCTCAAGGTCTCTGTCGGCGTGACGTGCGGCTTGGTTCCCTTACGCCCTTTTACGCCTGGGTCTCCGGGGTTGAATTCCCCGCTCTGGCGCCAGAGTTTTCTGGCCACACCCGGAAGTAGGCTTGTGCTCGTTGCCACGGTGGCGGCCACTGCCTCCCGTCCCACCTCCGCGGCGCTGGGCTCCGTGGTGGCGGGCCCCGAGCCTATGACGGGACAGGGCCAGCCGGTGTCTGGGTCGTCAGCGTGGAGCACGGTATTCCGCCACGTCCGGTACGAGAACCTGGTAGCCGGCGTGAGTGGCGGGGTCTTGTCCAACCTCGCGCTGCACCCGCTGGACCTTGTGAAAATCCGCTTCGCGGGTAAGCCTGCCCAGACACTCGCCGCTCCCCGCGCCGTCAGCCCGACCTGGGTGTAAAGACCCAAAAGGAGGCCTTGGTTTCCCCCGCGCCGTAATGTGAGGAGGGCGTTGAAGATGCAATCAATGCCCAGCCTCATCTGGAACTAGATTTGAAGATGGGGAGAGCGGCCTGGCCGCCCGCTTTGCTGGGTGAAGGTCTGGGACCAGGGGATTATCACATTTGTGCTCACACGTGCAAATCATTCATTTTTGGGGGTGCTTTGAGAGCTTAGGGCAGCCACGTGTCTGCAGCGCAAACTGAAAGGAAAGGGCAAATGCCTGGGGTAGAGAGCAATCCTGCAGATGGGTGGGAGTGTAGGTTTGGAATAGAATTTTCTTAAAGGCTTCTTTATGTTTGGGATAGTCGCAGAGTGTACAATGCCCTGTGAAGGTAAAAGGAGCTGGAATTCCTGTACTGTCTTGTTTGTGTATTAAGTGAATTAATTAATGAAATTAGCAAAGCACTTTAGAAGTTAATCCCAACGCCAAATTCTGGAAAAAGATACTTTCAGAGATGATCTTTGGTAGCTTCATTTGAAAACTGTTTTCTGGTGTTTCAGTTGTTATTACAAGTTAAATTCTGTTAAGTTAATTGTGCAGCAGTGTTTTCTCCTACAGTAAATCTGGATAATTTACTTGATCTATGTCTCAAACTGCTCTCTGGGCTACAGAAGCATCTGACAAAGTTCGTGCCCTAGGGAACTTACAGTCTTAATTGTAGGCTTGAAACTTATTCATAAAAGACCATTGTAAAATCATGGGCAAAGTGAAATAAATCCAAATACAAAATAGAATATAAGTAGACTGTCAAGATCATAGATTGTGGATGGCCCTATGTGTTGGTAAAACGATTTTGAGGTTCTCCACAGAATTAATATTTTGATAGCCAGAGGAGACAAGACACCATTTTATGAAGGAAAACAGGTGAAAATTGTGGATGTTAATCTCTAGAAAAAACACCAGAAAGGCATATAATTTCATGCTTATTATGCATGTACAGATAATTATGAAAGTTACTACCTTCATTAAGCATTTACTAGGAGCAAGACAATGAACAAAGAGCTTTCAAATCTTGACCTTACTCAGAGTACTATGAATTTATCATCCCTTTCATGAAGATGATAATAATAGAAATTGGCTAATTTACCCAAGTTACAAGATTGTAAAGGTGGATCTGGGAGTTGAACTTAGGCAGTTCAGCTCTAAGCCCTCTGGCACTTAGGCACTCACCATACTGCCTCTATGAATCCCTGGTACAGTGGCTTGGACATGAATGAAGAATTTTGGTCTTGGCTGTAGATGTGGGCCTGTATGTCTTGGGGTCTTTAGCAACTTTGTGTAGGAGCAAAACAGGTGGAGTTGGAATGATTGTTGAGCAAGAGTGTGGTTGGCCTGGTGAGTTTAAGATAGTGCGGGAACACAGACTGTGCGTGAGGGAAGGGAGTTCTTGGTACTGAGATTGGTGCCACTTCTTGAAGAAGTGGGGAAAGAGTGTTGGGAAACTAGGGACTTAGGTGACAAAAAAGGGACAAAAAAAAAAAAGGGATTCAGATTGGATAGGACCCCTAATTAAAGATCAAGGACTCAAAAGCAGGACAGTGTGAGTGTAAAATGGTGATAGATAAGAGGAAATTTTAGGAAGATGAATAATGGAAGTTAAGATAGTTGAGTGGTCAGCATCAATTCTAAATAACCTACTGTGGTTTTTGTGCTTTCCTATAATTAAACCCACTTAATAAGATTAATACCTAGTGATGGAGTAGGGATTAGTACTGAATGTATGTGCTATGAAACCAAACCTAGAAATTTTCAGTGAATTCAAATATGACATGGAACTCCAGTGTGTTCAGAGTTGTAGAAACATTAGAAATGGTTTCATGTGAGAAAACTTGAGGAACTAGTTTAATGTGAAAGGAGAAAAAAACTTAAGATACGTAGAGAACTTCTATGTGGGAAGGGAGCTGCCTCACTGTGAGTCCATCCTAATGTCAGACATAGGTTGAGTGGCAATAAAGGGAGTCAGAACTTGGCATGGCAAAGTGGTGGTGTTCTGAAATGAAACTCAGGATGACTGGAAGTAGTGAGACAGGTTGGATGATTGGAAAATATTCTTGTGTTGGGTAGAAAGGTTGCATTAGGTGATTGTTGAAGTCTGTTATAACTCAAGATGTAATTTTAAATCCTCAAGAATCGCAAGAGCCCCAAAGAATGTAAAAATAATAATTTGCTAAAATAATTCAAAAGCCTAACGTACAAGTTCAAGATGTGTGAGTTTTTTGTGAAGGATATGGAAAGAAAATATTGCTACGTCTATAATATTAATGAAGGAAGCAAAACATAGAATCCAGTAATGACCAGCACACAGTAACATTTTTTATGTATATGATATTGCAAGACTCAGTATTCCAGAGTCTCAAGGTCTTGCATGTATTAACTCATTTAGTTCTTTGTAATTTTTAGAGTTAGATTCTGTTATTTTCCTCATTTATGGATGAGAAAACTGAGGCAAAGAGTAATGAAACAAATACTCAGGATCTTACAATAAGTGTTAGAATTAGAATTCAAACCCAGGAAGTCTGATTCATAGCATATACTGTTCAAAGCTGAGTGTGTAGTTTGGTGTAGCTAAAGGGAAACTTTAAATGTCACTTATGAATATAAAGAACAATTCCAGAAAGCTAAGAAGCTGCTAAATTGACATGTCTTTTATGACATAGAAACAGAAGCTAGGATTGGATTTTAGGAGTGAGATCAGGACTAGAGATGGAGATACCAGAGCCCAAAGATGGCAATGAAACTGCTATTTAGTGATCAAGAGACTACCTTTGTTGGGTGGGAATATTTAAGGATTGGCAGAGGAAAGGGGGTCCAGGGAAATTCAGTGTCAAAGAAGAGGAAAGTCAAGAGGATGTGGTATGAAACATGCCAAAAGAAGGGGATATTTTAGGAGGTTAAACAATGCCAACTGCCACTAAAGGGGTTCTTAAAAAAACAAATAAGAAAAAAGAAATACCATTGATCTGCATAATTTTATGACCCATCTGTGGTTTTTAAAATGCCAATATATTGCCAAGCATTGTGGCACATATCTGCAATCCCAGCCACTCAGGAGGATGAGGCAGGAGACGACAAGTTCAAGGCCAGCCTGGGCGATTATGGAAACTCTGTCCCAAAGTTTTTTGTTTTTTGTTGTAAAGGCTGGGCATATAGCTCATTGGTAGAGTGCTTGCCTATCATTATTGAGGCCCTGGGATCAGCTCCTAATAACTGCAAAAAATAAAAGTAAAACACCAATATAGAGCACAAATAGAGAGGATCTGTTTTATTCAGAAAACTCTTGAATTATAATGGAGGAGAGGTGGTGTAAAACTAATGGTAGTGCCAGGTGGTAATTTTTTAAAAGTCTTTATTGTCTTTCCTCAAAAACGAGTTTAAAATTAAAGCCTGTGTTTTCGCCTCCTCCTCTACACCAGACTTTTTTCTCTTCAACTTGTGTGTTTTGGGATCTTTAGAGCTGTCATGGGCCATTTTAGCAGTAGTGTGAGACCCATAATTTTGAGGTCATTTTAAACTAAAAAATTACTGTGTCTTTGTAGCAGTGTTTTTGAGGGGTTGGATGCTGAGGTTTTTGAACTCAGGGCTTCATACTTGCTAGGCAGGCATTCTGCCACTTGACACACTCTGCCAGTCCCCTTTCTGTGTTGGGTATTTTTCAAATAGGGTCTTGCTTTTTGTTGCCTGGGCTGCTCTCTACCTTCTGACTATCTAGGATTACAGGCGTGAGCCACTGGTGCCTGGCTTTATAGCAATTTTAATTTGACCTTAAGGAGGCCCTCATTCAGGTGTTTACTTCAATACCATTGTCTCTTTTTTTCTTCTAGATTTTCTGCCTTCAAATTCATTCTGCTTGAGGACATAAGAATTTCCTTTTAAAAATATGTATTTGATTATTTTAGACATAGGTGAACACAAGTTTTATAAATACGAGGCTTTGAGATCATAGCCAAACTCTTTTGTGTGATTTTCAAGGACCTTTGCAGTTAGGCCTGCTATAATAAAATACCACATAGTGTGCCTGAAACAACAGTTATTTCCTCACAGATCTGGGGGCTGGTAGTCCAAGATGAAGGTGCTGGAAAAGTTGATTCTTAGTGAGGATGCTCTCCTTGGCTTGTAGATAGCCTTTTAACCTTAATTATCTCCTTAAATGCCCTGTGTCCAGATTACTTGATACCCTAGAATTAAGTAATTTCTCAAAACAATAAAGCAAGCATTAGTTTATACCTTTGAAAAGCAAAGGTAGTGTTTTTGTGGTGTAGTTTTCCTTTAATCTCAAGAGAGAAATTACATTGTAAGCTTATTGAAGAAAATGGAAAGATACTTTGCAGAACAGTTTTGTCAGAATGAGACAAAAATCTCAGGGAAGCACTAGAAAGATTATAAAGTTCATGGCAAAACACTTCTCAACAGCCAGTCACTGTGTCATGTGCATTTAAACTTGGGTACAAACACAAAGTCTGAGGTAGGTGACATTTGCCCTTATTTTATGAACGAGGATGCTGAAGCTCAGAAAGGTTAAGGCTGGGTAACCAAAAAGGGAAATGTCAAACCCAGAGAAAGCCTAGTGTACTTTAATCTCATCTCATAGTGTAACCCTGACAGGTTAATGATGAAACTGACTTTCCCCCTTTTGCCTGACAGTGGTAAACAGTCAGTGATGCTCATTTGTCAGACTCCATTTTACACAGTAGAAGCAATTGGCCAGTGAGCTGGGCATGCTTATGTGATTGGTGGACTATAATTTGTGTAAACCTTCTGGAGAGCAGTTTTAGCATGTATTTATAGCTTTACATTTATACCCCTTGACCTGTATTCCATATTTGAATAGCTAATGCCAAAGAAATAATAAGAACTCACAGAAATTGTTTTGCAGAATATTCTTTAGAAAACTTTTTACAGTAGCAAAAAAAGATGAGAAGCAATTTGAGTTTCAAAATGCCGCTGCTAGTTGAGAACTAAAAGTGTCTTGAAGTAGGATGATAGCAGCACTGTTGACTGAGAGTTGTAGACAGGTCCAAGAGAGATTTATGCAATAGAACCAAAGGGAAGGGGATGGAAGGAAGAGGGTCATAGATGGTTCACAGGTACCTGGCATGAGTACCTGTGTGGATGGTAGGAGCACTTGTTGAGCTTGTAGACAATGCTAGAATAAGAGAAGCTTCAATGAATGGGGAAAGATAGTTCAGTTTTTGGTGCGCTCAAGTGAAAGACTTTCCTACTCTATTGTGATTTTGGTGAGTGTGTGTGTTGGTGGGAAAGATGGGAAGAATTTTCAGAAAGTTGTTTAGCCCGTTCCCCATGTTTCTTTCCTGCCACTCCTCACGTCTTCTAGTATTCTTGATGTAATTGAGGTGTCTGGCTAGATTCTTTTTTTGAGTAATATTTTTGAATATTTAAATCCTTAATCTTGGATGTAAGATAATAGACAATATAAAATGAATATATTATGAATATAAAATAAAAACAAAATTTAAGTGTTTAAGCCTATTTGCCTATGAGACTTTTTGGGAGCAAATCTTTTTTTTTTTTTTTTTATATTTGTGCTGGGTAGGGGTACATTGTGCCATTTACAAAGTTACAATATATCAAATAAGGAGCTAATCTTAACACTTCTTAAAACATTGAGTGTTTAGAGTGCCGTCAATAAATACTTTGATAAATTCATGAATGTATTAATAATGGAAAATTACTTTCCATTATCTAAGAAAGTTTTCTTCTGAATTTATCTCTTTTAGTTAGATAATTGTGTGGTATCTGTGGTTGTTTTATTTTTGAGATGCTGGGAATCAAACCCAGAGCCTCATACATGGTAGGCAGGTGCTCTACCACTAAGCTATATGCCCAGCCCAGTATCTGTGTTTGTCTGTGTTGCTGAGCTAGAACTTTGTTCTCACCCAACTTTGTGTATCCTTTAATGCAGTGAGTGATGGATTGGAACTGAGACCAAAGTATAAAGGAATTTTACATTGCTTGACTACCATTTGGAAAGTTGATGGACTACGAGGACTTTATCAAGGAGCAACACCAAACGTGTGGGGTGCAGGTTTATCCTGGGGTCTCTACTTTTTCTTGTGAGTAAATCTGGGAGATTTTACACTATAAATAAAAGGGAATTTTTGTTTTTAGTGATCTTTTTAAGTAGCATTTTTTTCTTATGATTTACATATGTTGAAGAAAGATGAGTTATTTAATCAGGTTGTCTGAATTGGAAGGCCCAGAAAGCAAAATGGCTTGTTTGTTTCCTTCTCTGCCAGCTGTTACCAAAAGCACTAGTCTGGAAGAAAATTTGTAATAGGAAAAAGGTAAAGGGATGAGGTATTGAGGAGAAATACTTTTATAGAAGCCATTTCTTTGAGATAAATTTAGGAAGATGAAATGTTCAATAGATTACATTTGTAAGCTGAATATTCACAGATTCGAAGAAATCTTTTAGTTAAAACCATTTGAAAAGCAGCTAACTCAAATTCACAGTGAAATTATGAAGTCTTTTTAGGATTTCCAGGTGTTTTAGCCATATGATTACTCGAACATTTCTAACAGCCATAGACTAGAAAAAGTTGAATAAGCCACTTTGCTTTTTATTAGTAGTTTTATAAAGTGTTACAGAGACTGTGGAACCTGAAACTGTTTTCTAAAATGAATCCTATGAATTTGAGTCCTCTTTGGTATCCATTTTGATGGTTATTTAAACAAATAATTTTCTCCATTTATAAGAGAGTAGTTCTAGAGGGCCCCCAAAAATAGAACATTTTATAAATACTCTAGTAGTATGACAGCTACTTATTCTTAACCAGAGTCCAAGAATATTTGAGATGGCTTACAGAAATGCATTTGATACATAATGAAGTTGGAAAAGCACGAGAGAAGGATCTTGGAGTCCTCATGATAACATGCCCCACAGGAGATCCCTGTTGAGGACAGAAAGCAAAGGCCAGCCTTCTGAAAGAGTTTGAGGCATATTCCCTCACGCCTCTTATTTGACCTGCTCCATCATCTTCCCCACTCTTTCATTTCCTTACTCCTTGAACCTGTCATGTATCATCACTTTTGAAAAATTGCTATTGCATGCCTCCTGAAGAAACACAGAAAGTGCCTACGGCACGCACAGTGAGTTTACTGGGTGTATAGGAGCACAGTAACAAAGCATCACGACAGAGCAGTGGAGGATCACATGCTGCGGTGAGCATACCTCTGATATTTGAAACTGAATCCAGGAATTCTGGAGAAGCTTTTCTCTTTTCGTGGACGGCATTTACAGGAAAACATCAAAGCTCAGTCTATTTCCCTTTTTCTCCTTTGTATTACGTGTAGATGTGATCACTCATAAGTTTATGGCAGTATCCAAGGAAATCTTAAAATATCTTTTAAGTGAAAGCAAAATAAAGTTCAATCTTAGTATTGTTTAAATATTTTTCTTTTCATTCTTGTCATATTTAGATGGGTGAAACTATACACATATGTGTGAGTGTGTGTGTAAAACATACATGCTTTATAAGTTCGAGTTGTATAGATTCTTTGAGGTAGTTTCTAAGGACAAGCCATATGAGTAAAGGTTTATATGATAAGAATTTCTTATAATAGAACAGATTGTTTCATGTTAAAATAAAGATGTATCCAACTTAGATCTTCTTTCAAGAGGAAAGTGGAAATTAGAGTTAAAGAAAACAGGCCCGATATGACTCCCTTGTTCAGAAACATTTAGTGGCTATTTTCTGCCAAATAAGAGCCAAATCTCAGTCTGCCACTCTGTTGTGGCTCACTTTTCCCTGTCTTTCTGTCCACCTTTTTGTGTCGCTTTTCCCATGCTCATCTCTTTCCCTGTTGAAATTGTGCCTGTTAACACCCAGCTCACTGTCACCTCCCACACCAAGCAGTCTGTGATCTCAATCACAGTTTCTGAGTCTATGCAACTGTGTTGTCTTTTATTATGATTTTTTATATGTCGCTTGTGGTCCTTGTTAATCTGTTAGAAAGATACATTGCACATTTATCTTTTTATCAGAAAGCCAATTATATAGTTCCTGGACATAGATACTCAGCACACATTTGTTAGGTGCCCTGCTTTGTCTCTTTTGTCTTTTCTTCCCATTCTGCATCACCACTAAATCCTCCCCTTCTTCCAGTTTTCTTGTTTTTGTTTTTAATTGCTGAGTGTATGATGGAATATTTCATATATATGTATATACTGCTGGGCATATACATTTGTGGGACGAAGTGTTACAATTCTACAGTAAACCATTCTCAGCATATCTGTTCTTAAATGAGGCCTTATTTTGAGGTTGCTTTATGCATTGATGTTTACTTTGAGGATAGTGTTGCTAAATTACACTTTAAGACAGACTTTACTGCTTTATGACACCAAATGAACTGCTCATGATTAATTCTTTTAGTTACAATGCCATCAAATCATATAAGACAGAAGGAAGAGCTGAACAGTTAGAGGCAACAGAATATCTCATCTCGGCTGCGGAAGCTGGTAAGGCAACGTGTGAAAAAGAAAACATCTTCCAAACTTGATTTGTTTGTTTTGTTTTGGGTTTTTGAGATAGGGATTTGTTTTGTGCTGCAGGCTGGCCTTGAACTCCATATGTAGTCCAGCCTTTGCCTCAGACTCTGAACCTTCTGTCTCAGCCTCTAAACTTGATTTTTATTTTTTATTTTAATGGGCTTTGAACTCAAGGGCTCATGCTTGTTAGGTAGGTGCTCTACCACTTGAACCACTCCACCAGCCTTAGTAGGAATTCTTATTGATGACTCTGGATAGGTTAATTTTTTTAACCACAAAGGGTGGTATGGTTTAGAAAAGTTACGAATCCCTAATAGATTAAGATGATTTGGTATAGTGTTTCTTTAAACTGTAACTTCAGTTTTCAAATTAAGTAATTTAGTAGCCTTATTTCTTTGTCTGCTTTATGTATATTATCCAGAAGGAAAAACAAAGTAAGACCCGTAAGTCTTTATAAATCCTACACACGTGGTTTCTTTACTGGTTATTTTTTAAGACAAGGACTATCTTACTTTTGAATACCCAGCCACCAGAGATCTGAATCATAATAGGACTTGATATTTATTCAGTGAAAGGCCCCTGACGAAATAGAGTAAATGAAAAATGTAACTGTCTTAGATGAAGTTTGTTTTTTTTTTTTCAAAATTGCCACCTCCTATAAAGAATGTAAAATGTGACTTACTACATGGTTAGTTCTTGAGGCGTAGTGGCTACTTTTAATGAATTTGAGGAAGACTGTGATAGAGTTGGGTATACATATGTACCCCTTTGGACAAATGCTTGAGGCACTGGATTCCTGGTTCTCTTCCCCTAATCCTCAGTTTGTCCGGTTTATGCTGTGTCCTGCTCCTAAAATCTGTGTCTTGTTCCCATCCAGGCTCTACAGCAGGCCGCACTGTTTAACAGTCAGGACATCTTTGCTATCCCCTCAGAAGGAAAGTGTTTCACATTTCCATCTTCCTCTTAGTTTCCCTCTCACTAACCACATTTACTTTTGATAACCACCAAAAACTGTCGACCTTTTGACCATGAGACCGTGCCTCAGAGACCACGTCACTGTTGTGTAGATACAGCCCCTGTGATCTCATTCTTTATGTAATAGACTGTTAATTTGGATTAAATGAGAAAATACCTGCATGCTAAGTAGTCTTCTTCAAATCTGATTTTAGGAGCCATGACTCTCTGCATTACAAACCCCTTATGGGTGACAAAAACTCGCCTTATGTTACAGTATGATGGTGTCAATGCTCCACAGCGACAATATAAAGGAATGTTTGACGCACTTGTGAAAATATATAAGAATGAAGGTGTGCGTGGATTGTATAAGGTAACAAATTATCAGTATATTTCAAATAACTGTTTTATTTGTACATTTGTTCTTTTGTCTCACTTCTGAATAACCTGTACTTAGTCCTAAAAAGAAGCCAACCTTATGCAAGAAATAACTTAATGAAAACTGAAACCTCTAAGTTGTATATGTTCATTACTATGTACCTTTGTGACACTGGTAGGTGTGAGAACTGTCTAAAACTCTGTCAGGTGTTTTTTCAGTAAGTCACACAACCAGGTCATCCCTTCCTTACAGTCTTGGGAACTGGGCATAGGGTAGTATCAACAAGAGATGAAATGAGTCCAACAGGAACTTATTTTATTGGAATTTTTATTGACCTCAGACTTAATGAATTGAAAAAATAGCAACCAAAAAAAAAAAATTCAGCCTCTTGCTTACTTGCAGTTTTTTGAATTCGTTTGTTTGGGTTTTGTGTGTGGTGTGTAGCTGAGGATCAAATGCAGTATTTTTGAAATTTCTTCCTATTGGCAGCAAGATCTTTTTTTTTTTTCCTTCACTTTTCCTGTCTATTGTTTACAAACCATTCAACCAGTACTTCATTTTGCCTCTTTTTTTAAAGAAATTTATTTTATTTTTACATTTATTTACATGTATATACATTTTTTTTCATTCTTTTCCCACTTCACCATTTTCTGCCTTCTACTCCCACTCTTGCTTATCACCATTAAAAAAAGTTTTTAGGCCACACATAGTTTAAAATCAAAGTTAGATACATTGAATTTTACTTTGTTTTTCAAAAAATTGTGTAATAGCTTTTAAAATGGTTATATTATGAAGTTGAGATTATAGGTTCCTGACCGTAGGCAAAAACTTTTTAGAATTGTATCATTTAATTCTATATTTTGTTTTATCACTTCTCACCTTACTATTTTTAAATACCTATGCTGAGTCAGTTGAAATATCACCACCTTTACTTTCTTAACTAAGTTTAACTTCCTGCCCATACCCCAGCTCTTGATAAGATGGGTCTTTATGTTTGTATACATGCAGCTTAATGGAAATTAACATGAAATCTATAAACAGCTTGAGAAATAGAGAGTACTGTTTTTAACCTATATAAAAACAGTGATTTCTATCAAACTTAAATGCATTTGCTTAAAGTATTATTAAAGGAGAGACAGAAATACATCTTTCTCTAAAATTTCTTTAGTTTGGCTTTTTAAAATTACTCTCCTTTAGGGATTTGTTCCTGGGCTGTTTGGAACATCACATGGTGCCCTTCAGTTTATGGCATATGAGTTACTGAAGTTGAAGTACAACCAGCATATCGATAGATTACCAGAGGCCAAGTTGGTAAGATGATTCTTATAGAAATGATATTGTTTACTTTTATGGGTATTTAATAGGTAGAAATTTTTAATATGCTTACTTCAGTAATATTGTTATGACAGTATACTGACTGCCACTACAGTATTTTTCATGTAAAGATTCATTTAAATGGTTTTTTGGGTGGGGTTGTATATAGTTTTTACTTCTGTGTTTTTAAAGAAATTTGTCTAAAGAAAGTCATGAATGATTTGTTTTCATTTTAGAGCACAGCAGAGTATATATCTGTTGCGGCACTGTCTAAAATATTTGCTGTGGCAGCAACATACCCGTATCAAGTTGTGAGAGCCCGTCTTCAGGATCAGCACATGTCTTACAGTGGTGTGGTGGATGTGATCACAAAACATGGAGGTGAGAGCATGCCCTGAGGAAGTTTCTTGTACGTCATAGACCTCCATTTGATACAAGTGATAGCAAAGGCCAACTTGTTGTAAAAGTGGACTGGTGGTCTCTGCTTTCTCTCTAAGGCTAAATTTCTTCATTTGTAAAATTAAACTATTAAAGTAGTTATAAAAGTGAAATAAGATACATGAAAATGCTTTGAAAAAATAAACGAAATTCAGGTATTATAAAATATGTGAATGGTATTAAATATGGAAGTCAGAAACCTAGTTTAATACGGTTGAGAAGGACCACGCCTGCTACAAACCCCGTAACTTGTGCAACTACTTGTCTCCGTGTTTGGAAGAGATACATGTTCTGAATTCAGCATGAGAATAAGAGATTTTAGGTAGACTTCCCCATACTTCCCTTTGATTCTAAAAGGCTTGAGCAGAGTATTTAGAATGCTTAGATTTAGTTCAATTTAAGAAGTACTGAATGAGAAACTAAGTGGCAACTTCTAGGTCTATACCCTATTCTAGGCATTAAGGAAATACAATTTTCTTTTAGTGTATGATATATTTAGTGTTGTAAAGGCTTGAGACTTTTAATGTCTACATTTAATTAGTTAAAACCTCCTGGCTGTCCATCATTAAAAGTATATAGGAGATGATTAATTTAAAGCACTTTCCAGTTCAGCTTTGAGATGTCCCTACCCTGTCTTCCTCAGTCAGTTCATAAAAGAAATGTAAGCCCCCATAAAGTGGTTCATAAACTGCCTTACTTCAGGACATTGTAAACATGGCTTCAAATCGGAATTAGGTTTGACTGCTTACTGCATGCCTTGTATCCGTTGAATGTTTGTATCTTTAGGCTTGCTAATTGGGAAGTTAAGCATTTATTTTCTCCCTTTAAAGGAAAGAAGGCATCGGTGGATTTTACAAAGGAATTGCTCCCAATTTGATTAGAGTGACTCCAGCCTGCTGTATTACCTTTGTGGTATATGAAAATGTTTCATATTTCTTACTTGACCTTAGAGAAAAGAAAGTAAGCTAAAAGAAGATAATTCCAGGATATCTACCCAGACAGAAACAAACTCCTTTGTGTTTGACACATAAAACTCAACAGAATGCTGCACAGCAACCTGACTCATAATCAAAGTTTGTCTGTAATCATTAGAAGTCAAAGAACTGCTAAGTCTTCTCCATATTTGCTGCTTAACTTCTCTATCTGTGTAGAACTGGGCTTCCCTCGCCATCAACATAATGTTAGAAGTGGAACCATGTGTAGAATTTCACAAATTTCTCCATTTCATTTTTCAAGTAGAAACTAGTTTACAACATTTGTAAATAGATTAGATGAATACCCTTTTTCTGAGCTCATTTGCCTTTATTGGTTTTAAAATTGACCTTTGTGCACTAGCAAGAAAGTGGCTTCTTACAAGAATGTCATTATTTATTTCAAGGGTAACTTAAGCTCTTTTTTTTTTTTTTTTTGGCAGTTCTGGGGTTTGAACTTAAGGCCTCACGCTTGCTAGCCAACACTACCATTTGAGTCACCCCCTAGCTCTTTAAATTTTAAGGATTTACTAAATAAGGTATTACCCAAATCCAGACTATTTTGAGTGGTGATATTTTATTATTGTGATAAAAAGTCCACTGTAAATGTACCGTATTTTTATTGCAATTGGAGCACACTAACTATGGAAATGGAGGAAGTTACATACTTCTCTGAGAAATAGCTGACATCTTTTGTCATTTAATTGCTAATTATTTTTCTAGAAGCTCATCTATAAGTTAAGATGTAATCGTGGGCCCACTTCTTGTTTATTGGCACAAGTAGTTAGTGTAGTTCAAAGTTATAAACTCTGAACTTTTAGGATCCAGCTGTGTCAGCTTTTATTTAGCACATATAGCTATAAATTACTTATCATAGATGCTAAATAGGCTATCTTTTATAGTTGCTGAAGTGTTTGGAATGTGTTTTTTAAAAACTGAATAGAAAGGACCAACTTTCTACTTTAGTTTTCAGATTTATGGATCCAGACCCAAATAAGTGATAAATCTACATTGATTGCTCAAATTTAGGTTGAAATACAAATTACATTAATGGCCACTATTGATTTTATTTGTAAGAGTCATTGTGGATATCCATAAATATAAAGGCCTACTCCCAAAAGAATGTCAAAAAAATCATTTTATTTATCATATCTCTGAGTGCTCTTGTAAATAAAACATTGTGATCAAAGCCATGTTTAAATGGTTCTTTGAAAATAGGTCTATTTTTTTTTATATTTTGGAAATGACATTGTTTTTAAAATAAAGATAAAATGATAAGTACCTAATTGTATTTGCTGTACTATCATGTAACATGTGTAGGAATGCTTTATAAATTATGGTGTATTTTTTCTCACTCATAGACTTACACTATAATTCGTATGAAATCCTAATAATAATACCTAAATGGAAAAATAAACTGCAGTTGATATTTGGAGTTTTAGAGTTAACATCAACATATAATCCTATGTGCTTCCACATCAAGACAATTCTTGTCCTCTAAAGACCATACATGTTTGCATAATAAAATATGCATTCAGTAAGTATAGTTCTAGGTTAAGAACAGGCAAAGAAATTTCTATAAAATCCTGTAGAGTTCTGAGAAAGAACTCATTTCAGTCATTCAACAATAGTTACTGAGTACCTGCTCTGTGCCAGTTATATTACCAGGCATTGAGATAACAGCAGTAAGTGTGCTAGGCAATGTTCTTGCCTTCTGGGAATTTTCAGTTTTTGTGAGTGACAAAAGATGGATACATGTGTGATATTTCTGGTGTTGAATGCTATGAATAAAACAAAGGTGGAATTGAGGATAGTGTTGCCATCTTAGGTCAGATGGTTGGTGTGAAGAAAGATCTTTTTGAGGAGATAGTATTTGAAGCATTTTGAAAGACGTGAGGAAGCAAACCACAAAGAGATAGAAAAAACACATTCTAGGTAGACTAAGAAGTACAAAAGTCATGGAGCAGAAATTAAGTTACCTAGAAGGGATGAATAAGGAAAAGGAGGTTAGAGAAGTGACCACTTGAGTATGTTGGGAAAGAGTGCAGTTTGGAGAACCAGACTGGATTCAAATTTCATCCTTATTTTCTGTTTGACCTGAGGCAAATCATCTCATCTCTTTCTCAGACTTCCTCATCTGTAAGATGATGTCTTAGATCAGTTCCTCTAGCAATGCCTGAGATGAAGGAATATTCTTAGAAATCTGTGAAGGAGCAAAGAAAACAGGAGGGCAGGGGAAGAAGAGTTTCATAGGTAGTATAGCCTTCGCCTGATCCTACATAGCTCTCCAGAATGAATTGGACCACAGAGTTTGTCCAGCCAGATGGTGAGGGGGCTGGGCCATTAGGTTTTCAAAGTAGGCAGTCATTGGCTTACTAAACTATGGGGAGAAGAGCTGGGAGCTAGCTAGGTACTTCTCTTTAGCCACGGGCAATCCTCCAAAAAGGGTGAGCTTTTAACCAGCCTCCGCCTGCAGAAGCTAGGATGTGACCATCCCTGAAAAAGGAAGCTGGGTGAGCCACCAACAGCATCTGCTGCAAATAACCATATTAAATACCCAGAATACATAGCTATGAGATTATTGACTGGGTTAAATGAATCAGTCCAAATACAGAGCGTAATGTAGTGCATGGACCAGCAAACAGTAGAGACCAGATTTTGTCAGGTCTTGTAGGCCATGATAAGTTTAAATTGAGAGGTCATACTGGTGATTGTGTGGAGAAACAGAAGACAAGCAAGAAGCAACGATGCTAGTTAGGAAGCTTTTACAAGAGCTGGTGGTAGCTTGGACCTGGCTAACTGGGTCATGGGTAGTGATTTACAGCACCCGTGGGCAGAATTACAGCAAGTTCATGAAAACATTGAAGCCGAACATTAAAGGAAGAGATCCTAAAGGGAGCTGTGACAAAACCGATGGTGACCCGTCTTGAGTGACTGGCTGTCAAGCAGTATAATAATGGAAGAGCAGTGTAAGATGGGGTCCAGAACATGAGAATCCTTGAAACTTTGCTCATTGCAATTTTATTGGGTAAAAAAAGAAGAAAGCAATTCGAACAAAGAGTGGGGCTGCAACTTAGGGATGACAGGAAGATCAGCGAGATAGGAGGGGCAAACTCAAAAGATGTTATCACACATGTAAATATTTCAAAAGGATGAATATTGACGCCACTGATAACTTGAAGCAGATTCAAGTTATAGAGGCTGAGGACAGATTGCAAGCAGCTGAGTAGGTAGGGCGAACTGCAGGTGTCCGTTTCACTATGGGCTCTTCTTTCCTAGAGTTTGGCAGGTAAACTGGCCTGAAAAAGTAGTGTGAGTCTAGGAAGAGGAGGTGTGGGAGGCTGAGCAAATGGAAAACCAGAAGATGATTATAGGGAGAATGCTTAAAGCCAACAAACAAAAATAACTTGGAGCTGTGCACCAGAGAATGCAAGATGATGGGTGTCCTGTCTTGTGAAAAGGCCATCCACTTCAATACATGCTTTTGTGGTCTGACAATATTTTTAAGTCATTTTGTTTTTAAAATGCCACAGTAAAAAAGGGATGCCAACTAAGATGTTTGAATTCAAGAATCATCAGAGTTAGATTTTTCTTTGAATGTAGACACTTTCCTGAAAATAAAATCCTAAAGATATATATTACTACTTTTGTAGCAAGGTCTCATCACTTATAAAATCACTTACAGAAATAAATATGGTGAAATGCTTTACTTAACCTTTATGCTGTTTTCTAAAAATGTGTTAGGTAACATACAGAAAATATGTGAAGTTTTGGGTTACTTAAAGTCTTAAATTTCTTTCAAAAGTAGTAAATAGGAAGTAAGCTCTCAAAGTACCTGTAATGAATACCTGTTGTCTACCCAGCATCCATTTCTCTTCTTGAAGTAGCCTGAATTTCTTTTGGGAACCTACCCACTCCCTCCATTATTAGCTTTGTGATTTAGGCAGAATTAGCCTCACCCTGCCCCAGAGGTGGGCCCTGATTAGCAGAGCCAGTCTGAATGCATCTCTTCATAATCATGAATGGTTTGGATTTGGCACCATTATTTAATCCAATCAGAATGCCTCTTAAAAGATTTTTTCCTCCACATACCAACATAGATCTTCCCTTGCTATTTCATGAATAAAGATGCATGTAACTCAAACTTCCTGCAGACCAATTTAGGATCATATGTTGGGTAGTTTTGAGTCATAGTATATGGGATTCTGGATCAGCTCCCCCTTAGCAGCATGCACCTCTGGAATTTTCAATTTGGTGAACAATAAATTTCTTTTGTTTTTTTAAAAGTCTCAGTTGGGCTTTTCTATTGCTGTAACTGAAAGCTTCCCAGGTAACACAGATGTAGACCCTAAACTTTGTCACTTTCTAGTCATCATATTGGCAGACTCATTTCTATGGGAGTTGATTTCATCTTTATGAAAGTGAGCACTTTAGAACCTTGATATGAGCACATAATTTCTCTAAAACCATTAAAGTGGCTAGGAATAAAAGCTGGCTAACACCCACAGTATGGTATTTTGTCCTCCTCATTCTCGGCAGTGGATGCATTTGGTATGCATTGACCTGGAACACAAACATCCTCACAAAGAGCTCCATCCACAACCTCATCAGAAGTTTCTCATCACCAGTCTTCTATTCCTTTTTCTTCTAAGTCCCTGACTACCCAACCATTAGCAACTGACCGTGAATTAGTACAGAGCTATACTTTGACCATCTTTCATTCCAGATAGTGAACAATCAAATCTACTGCCTGAAGTACTCAGAATTTTCCTTCACAGTTATCCTTCAAGGTCACCCTTTAATGGGACCATCATGCTATAGCTTTGGTCTTTCCTAAGCATATCTGCTTTGATCTTGAGTCATAGTATTATTAGAACTATCTGTAAACCAGGTTCACATTCCACTCTTCAGTCATCTGTTGTAAAGAACACCCCAGGATGCCAATAGGAAAGATGACCCTGCAGTAGGAGTTGGTGTCTGAATCACAAGCCCATGCATCTTATTTGTACTTTCTGCACCTTTCTAAGCTCTCATCCCTTCTACACCCAGGTCATGATGGAAAACAGGCCACATGATCATGTGATATTTCTCCTAAGGCTCAATAGTAAGCCAGATGCTGTTTTTCAAAAGAAAAATAGTTCTCTCCGGAGAGCATTGTTTTCCTCCAAAATCCCAGAGGTCCTGTCTTTGATTCTATTAATGCCTGCCACAAATGTCACTCAGAATCCCTGCTTGCCATAAGACAGTTATTGGATCTGTTGGATCATAAGTACTAAATGGTAGTGTCACTTGTAATCCAGCTTGAATTTGTTTCAGAGAGTTTTCTTGCTCAGGTTCTTCCTCAAAACTGGGCCTTAGGGGTGGTTGTATATATGGGTTGAAGCATCACACTCAAATGTTATGTGTTATCTCTAAAATACAGACTATGGCATTTTTCATGGTAGCAAAAGGTGCAGCAACCTGTCTTTTTCACTTGGAGAATGTGTACTGATGTATTTCAGATTAACCTCATAAAAAATCTTGTGACCAGTTTATTTTATTGTATTGCAACTTTGCCTATTTTTTTCCTTGCAGAATTTACTTTTTGTGATGTAGTTGGTTGATCACACTTTTCTTTATAAATGACTTCTAGATTTACAGTTAGCAGCTAAAAGGCCTTCTCTAGTTCTCCCATGATACATAGCTATGGTTGAGAAGCACTAGATTAAGACACAATTATAAATTCAAGAAAAGGACTAGTGGGATTGCCACTATAGAAGGTCTTCTGGTCATAAAGAGTGACATGATGAAGTCAAATGTGGGCTTGGGATTTTCATGACAGGCTGAATTTAATGGATGAGGTCACTCATTCACTCATTCCTTCAACAAATGTAGGACATCTACAAGTTAACAATTCAATGGTGGTGTGTTGGTAAATGTTTTTAACCATCAGCTCTTGGTGGAGGGTGTGGGGTTAAGGAAACCTGGTACAGTGTCTGTTGGTTTCAGATTTCCATAGTGTAACTAGTCCCGTTATGTCTACTTCAAGGTATCGGTGTTGTCTCACTGAATATAAAGTTGGGAAGAGATGTGCCCAATCGGGTTTCATCAGCTGATACCAGCCACTATAACATATCACTGGTTGTTTCTTAAACCTCTTTGATATTTATATGGTGTTTAATATTGTTGAATGTTTCTTTCGTCATGAATTATACATCATTGACCTCAGGGACATTTTGCTTTCTTTGTATTCTTTTACTTGAATCTAAAATTTCTTTTCTTCTCTCTCTTGCACTTGTCTCTGTCTTCACTTTCTTTGTGGTGTGCTCTCATGGCTTTAATTATCACTTTTATAGTAAAAACTTATAAATATCCATCTCGATGCCCAAACTTTAAGCTAGACTTTCATTTCCAACTATCTGTTGAGCAGCTCTGATAAGATGCCCTATTGATAGTGCAAACTCAGCATGTTCAAAGCCACCATTTTATCCTCAAATCTCTTCCTGACTTCCCTATTTCTGTTAATCCCAGTGTCCCAAGATCAAAACCTTGAAGTGTTATTTGAGTCTCCTGTAGTCTGTTTTCCAGTTTGAAGTCCTTTTGATTCTCCTTGGACAGTTCTCAAATCTGTTCCCTTTCTAGGGTCATCTCTAACACTATACCCTACCAGTAACTTCTTTTTTTCTTGAGGATAATATACAACTGTCTACTTCAAGGTATCAGTGTTGTCTCACTGAATATAAAGTTGGGAAGAGATGTGCCCAATTGGGTTTCATCAGCTGATACCAGCCACTATAACATATCACTGGTTGTTGTTTCTTAAACCTCTTTGATATTTATATGGTGTTTAATATTGTTGAATGTTTCTTTCATAACATGAATTTGCCTTTTTTGCTCCTTTAAAGTGCACTTTTCAGTGACATTTACCGCATTCACAGTGTTACACAACCATTCTTCCTGTATAGTTCTAGAATATTTTCATCCCCCAATAGGAAACTCTGTACCTAATGAGCAGTAATTTCCCATTCTTTCTTCCCCTGCCCCCCCGCCAGCACAGCAAACAATCTCCATGTAGTCTTTTGTGTCATGTTATAAGCATGTATCAGCACTTCATTTTTATTCCATTGTATTCCTATACCACGTTTTGTTTATCCATTTTTTTCTGTCGATGGACACCTGGGTTGTCTCCACCTTTTGGCTATTTTGAATGGTGCTATAAACGTTCATGTTCAAGTTCTTGTTCTTTTGAGTATACCTAGGAGTAGAAATGTTGGGTCATGTGGTCACTCTACGTACCTAACAGTCCAACTGTCTTCCATAGTGACTGTTCATGTTCCCACTAGCAATGTATCAGATCTAGTTTCTCCACATCCTTGCTATCACTTTCTTTCCACTTTTTAATTGTAGCCATCCTAGAGGGTACAAAGAATTATCTCACTATGGTTTTAACTTGCAGTTCCCTAATGACCCATTTGTTGAACATTCTTTTATGTGTTATGGACTGCTTTGGCGGGAGGAGGTACCACCTTGTTTCTTTTGCCCATTTTTTTTTGATGATATGGTTTGACTAAATAAAATTCTCACTCAGCTCTAAGAATGGGCTTTTGTTATGCTGCTTTAATACCCAAACTGTCAATATCTCTGTGCTGCTCCACAGATAACCCTGGTGGTCTTGATCACCACAGTATTTTCTCAACTGTCTTTAGGTGTCATAGAATTCCTACACACCTGTCCTAAGCTCAACTCACTACTCTATGAACACGATTTATTTCCTACCATGGACTCTTAAGTAACATTCTTGCTCTCATCCAAAAATGTTCTTAATCCCTATCTGTGGCTCACATTTTTACCTATGTTGGTTAATATCTACCTATCTTCAGTATTATTTCACCTAGACTCCTTATTTCCCCTTTACAGTTTATGTCAAAGTAGATTCCAGATATATCACTTCATCTTCAATGCTTCAGTATGTCTAAAAGATGAGCACTATGTAAAAGCAACTATACCACCATTATCACACCTAAACAATTATAGTTTGGTCTTGTTTTGTGTTTATAGTTTGCTTGAATCAGTTTCTAAAGTACAAACATTGCAGTTGGTTGATATGATCTTAAGTCTCTTTTAATACATAAGTTTTTTTCTCCTCTTTTTCATGCAGAGTATTTGTTGAAGAAACTAAGTTGCCTTTTTGGTTTCTTACAGTTTGGAAATTTGCTGATTATATCTCTGGTGTTAACGAATATTTTTTTTTAATCTCCTGTATTTTCTGCCAACTAACAGTTAGATCTGGAGGCTGGATCAGATTGAGATTTGATTGTTTCTTGGGAAAACTACTTCTTGGGTGTTACTATGGCATTTTATTAGGAGGCCTTAGTCTGGTCTGTCTCTTTTGGGAATGTTATCAGTCATTGATGAACACTGCTAGATTCCATAACACATAAGGGATTTAAAAAGGTGACATTCTACCAATATATGGTGGTACTATAATGTAAATATGCTATGTGTTTATCTCTGGTTACCCAGAGATATGGTTCATAAAAAGAAAGCAGAATATATGTTTGGTTCTTTCTGTTTACCAGTTTTGAAAATAACAAGTTGATTTGCTGGTATCCTGTTAAGTTGACCAACTGATTTTATCTTACTATATTATAAGCTTATGCATGTAAACATATTAGACGTGTTTCACATCATTGCATTTAAATCACTGCCAGTGGGAACCAGTTCAAGCTGGGTCCTCAGATCCTTTTGAGTTGTCTCATAGTTGCCTTGTTTTCCAGTAACGACAAGGTGTTCCTCATATTGTACATTTGCTGCCCAAGAGCTAAAGTGACTCATTTCTTCAGGCATCCTCTTCCTTTTAGTAGGAAGTAGTGTGTAGAGATGATAACATGGGCATCACTGAACTGGTCATTGCTCCTAGACTTTCTTGTTTTCTAGTTTTATTTAAGATAAAGTGTCATGTTGATACTTCCAGTTCAAGTCTAGGATTTTCTTAGCATCATCAGTCCTACACTTCCCTGTCTTCATGAGTTCTTTCAGATCACCTTGGCCAGTGGTGATTGCTCTTGCTTTGACATGCACATCATTCACCATTTTACTTTTGTGTATATCCTTTTCTTTCTACCAAATGGTAAGCAATTTGAGGCTAGAATCCATGTCTTTTTACTCTTTATTGAATAAAGATGAAATTCCTAAAGTGCTGCTATATTTCCTGATATATAAATACCCTTGATATTGAACCATACTATAGATGTATTAAAATTCATATGTTAATTGTTAAATGAATAAATATGAAATTAGATTTCTACTCAACTCTTCAGATATAAACTACTAGAAACTCCAATTTTAGTGGCAACTAGTTTAAAGATATTGCTGGTGGAGTGGCTCAAGTGATAGAGCACTTGCCTAGCAAGCATGAGGCCTTGAGTTCAAACCCCAGTACCACCAAAAAAAAAAAAAGTTAGTTTAACAATATTAAAATTTGAAATAAGTTTTATTTAACAGATATGGTATAAAACAATCCTAAGCATTTACAACGTGTACAAAGAATAGAAACTTATGTTTTTAAAAATGCTATACTAAGAAAATAAGAAAAACTAAAGACCACAATCATATTCCAAGATACAGGTTCAGGGAATGCAAATATGAAAAAGTATTCTAATCAACTAAAAAAAAAATCCTGAAGCTATTTTCAATTGGAGTAAAATGCATAATACTGTATTTTAAAAGTGTGAAATCACACTTCAGTCTGTAAACATGTTTGGCTTTGTTTTCTTTTTCATTTGATGTACACATGAAATGATTTTTAAAATTTAATTTAAAAACTATTCAAAGGTATGATAAAAAGAGGTAGGGAATGAAAAGTTAAAGGATCTACTTTGGTAGTTCTTCAATAATGATGCGAGACACTGAATTCCATCCGGTAGAAGCATCTCCTTTTGGGTAATCTGAGCAAGTCCCAACCCAGATAGCAACATCCACCAATCCAGCACCAATGCCTTCACAGAGGCCTTCCACTGCAAAACAGACAACAGTCACAGCTTTCTTTTAGAACAGAGCAAAACCTTCCACAGCACATTCACTTGAGAAAGTGGTTATAATTCTGTTTAATGTAAAGCTACTTAAAAATTCTAATACCTGGTAGGGATTTCATGACAAAGTTTTCCTTTTCTTAATCGGTACAGAAATATTTTAAAAAGATACATACACATCTGTTCTATGACATAGACTTAACAGGCAGTTTTCTTATTGGTTTCAACAATTAAGTCCAGAATTTGCAGAGATGCCCTAAAGCCAAAGAGCATTTTATTTGGCTAAGCAAAGGAAACCTATACTTTTTAAAGCTAATACTTCCCAGCTTTGGAAGATGCTTGAACCAGATGCTGAATCAAAATAAGTCTTTTTTTCTTTTTTTTTGGCCATACTAGTGTTTGAACTGGGCCTCATCCTTGGTAGGCAGGTTCTCTACCACTTGAGCTACACCCCCAAACTTTTTTTATTTCTTAAAGAATGCTATTCAAGAAGAAGAATGGGCCAGGTGTCGTGGTGCGTGCCTATAATCCCAATATAGGAGAGGCAGGTAGAAGGATCAAGATCTGAGGACAGCCCTAGGCAAAAAGCCTGAGCTCCTATCTGAAAAATAACTAAAGCAAAAAAGGGCTTTAGGGGTATGGCAATAGTGGTAGAGTGCCTGCCTAGTAAGCACAAGGCTCTGAGTTCAAACCCCAGTACCACAAATTTAAAAGGAAAGACTTTTATAATATTAAAAGAAATTCTAGCACAATCATCATATACCCCTTCAATCTGGGAATCACATTTTGCACAGTATTTCCTTTTAAATACCCAAAAAAACACTGACACCCTGCATTTCCTCTCTGTTCTGATGCTTTATAATTATGCACCTTCTCACATGTCCTCTGGACTTTCACAAACTAGCATTCAACTTGCATGCCATCCTACCTTGAGTCTTTGCCCACATCTTAAAAAAAAAAAAATCCACTAGTCATAAGAACAGGCAAAGAAGGCATGCTACCTTTACTGTCTGTGTGAGCAGGGAAAGAAACTAGACTGTCAGGTTCTTCACGTGAATCCTGGCCTAGAGGCAGTGTACTGACCGGTTAGCTTTCCTACTTGGTTGAGGTTAGTGCATTCCAGCTGAGCCCCAGGGAGGCAGGTCTGAAGCACTCTGCTTCATTAGCTGTCACATCAGTAACTGTAGGGCAGTCATCAGAATCCAGGGACGTGGCACTGGACCAGCTCTCTTCCAAAGTCCAGAGAACTGAGCACTGGATCCAGACCCCACTTCATCTGGTATTCTCCAAACTGTGTCAGGTGACAATGCCCAGCAAGGCCCTGACTTCCACGGCCTGGAAACTTGTCACCTGACCCCATGATCTTGGGACATCACATAAGTTTGAGTCTAGTGTCAGCCTACCGCAGGGAAGGTCATATGTGCACTTCATGATCTTTAACAAACCAAATAACATTTGTTGGATGAATGAACTTAGCTTTTGCTGTGATCATGCAGTATGACAGTTTGCTAAGCACTAAAATGTGCAGGATTAGGAGTTCTCAACCTGCTTCTGTACTAGACCAAGGGAACACGTGACATTCAGAGGGTTGTCAAACTCCCTTGGGCATATCCAAGGCTTTCAGTCTTTCTCCATATGCCAACCATAATTGCACCTCAATTCCTTTCCCTCACAAAAGAATATCATTGTGCAAGAGAAAGTGATTTTGTTAGAGATAACCTTTGATTCACATTACTACCTAAACTGTAACTAGTAAATAATTTGTGACACTCCACCCAATTGATCATATCCAATGTATTTCCACACTGTGTTTGGGAAATGCTTTGTTAAGCAATTTATGAAGTGTATGCGTGTAAAAGTCATGGTTCCTAGAACTAAGGGTGCATTATGGCAAGATTTAACAACTATCTTGAAGATAATACCATAGACAGGTGCTTATATAAACATGTTTAAACATATTACCAACTAATCAGATTTTATATTTTATCTCTGGATTTTTCTATTTCTGTTTGTTTTTCTTTTGTGGTGCTGAGGATCAAACCCAGGACTTCACACATCCTAGCCAAGCACTCTACCACTGAGCAACATTTCCAGCCCACAGATTTTCCTTATCCTAGAAATTATGTTTCTTTCTCTCTAGCACCTATCTGCCTAAGGAGGAAGCACTTTTTTTTAATGTGACCAAAAAGAGGGCAAAAGAGACCAGATCCCTGATTTCTACTCTCCTGAACAATGATTCTTTTGTCCTGGGTAAGATGTGTATCTCCCTTTTTGATATGTAGAGAGAGGGATTAAAATATCTGTTTTATGATTTGATGACATTATAGGGATTTGTTGGTGGTTTTATTTTTATTCTTCATTTTTTATTTTTTGGTGGTGGTATTGGGATTGAACTCAGAGCCTTGTGATTGCCAAGAAGATGGCCTACCAGTTGAGCCAAGCCCACCAGTCCCAACATTTGAGGAAAAAATGTGGAAGCAATGCTTTTGACCTCTTAGGAATAAATGCGCTGTATTAGTTTGGGGACTCAGTATCTGACTTGGATCAGTCTCCAAAGAATACTGAACTATTTCTTCTACTCAACAGTAAGGAATCACTTCCTTTCCCTCAGCTGTTTCAAATTGTAATATTATTGACAAATACTTTCAAGAAACCAGGGAAATGAAGCAGAGCAATGTGTACAATTTCTGATCATCCCATGCCTGTGTTGTCATGGTGTGCCACCCACAGAACTTCACAATACTGGAATGGCCAGTAGTGGTGGATCTGCGTGATGAGATTAATAGGTGGGTTTTACTTTTTTAAGCCTTCTATTTTTTAGTATTTTTGAAACTTTAGTGAACCTTAAAATAGAACAAATCATTTCTTTCCAACTGCCTAAGTGGCCACTGGTTTAATTGAATGATTAAATGTCTGTTCTTTCATACAAGCTAGAAACAACGGATGCAGAAAACAATACAGAAATTCTCTTGGACAAATTCAGCAGATAGTATCACTGTTTTAAAGGAGAGGCCAATGGCTGGGGATGTAACTCAGTGGTAGAGTGCTTGCCTAGCCTGTGCAAGACCCTGCTTTTGATCCCCAGCACCACAAACAAACAAAATAATGGCAGCAACAATAACAACAACAAAAACTAATGGACAGGCAGAGAAATGAGTCAGTCTCCTTATCAATCTAAGCTAGTGGTTCTCACCCTTGACTGAATATTAGGTAACTGAGAGATATTCTGAAAATCCCATTGTCTAGGCTGCACCCACACCCATCAAATCAGGCTTCCTGGAGGAGTGGTAGCCACAAATAGGTAGTTTTCTTCAAATTCCCCAGGTGAGCCCTGTCACAAATACGCTCTATGGCATTACTGGCTGCTTTGCTATTACATCTATCTCATTGATTTTTCAGCCTTGAGCACATCACCATCAAAGAGTGGGGGTGTCTTTTCAAAAACACAGATGCTGGGGTCTTATCCCTGGTCAAAGATGGGGCTAAGGCATCCATACTTTTTTTTAAAAAGACCCATAAGTAATTCTGATGTGCACCCACAAACTTGCTAGAGCTCCCTTAGTAGCAGGCTAGTGAACCAGCGTGATCATACGTAACTAATCTTAGATCTGAGGTACCTTCTGCAAGGTCGCTGTTTTACATACCAGAAGAAGTCCGATGAATATTAATTGTTGAATTCAATTCAGGGCTACCTTGGTCCAAATAAATAATGGCTTCAATGGGAAGAGGCCCTGAACATTCAGCTCCATTGAACGTGAAATACCAGCGCTGACAGCATGCATTTCTGCATTTTAGGCGAAGGGAGCCACTGAACAAAACTCGGAGAGCACTGTTAGAACGCATCTTCGTGAACGTACACTCCTGCCACACACAGAAAAATAGCCTAGTTAGCATTTTCCATTTCAATTAGAGACTTTGAAATTACATTGCGAATACTACTTAACTATCCTTCTCCCCAATATATTTTAAAAGCTGAACTTTTACAGTGGGAAAGAGATTCTCTATAAGATAGGTAAGAGATGATATTAAGAACTCTGTGTCAAATTATGGCTATAATTTTTCACTCAGTGGAAATAGCTAGTCTTCAGTAATTTTGCCCAAAGAATCTACCAATCTATATACTTTTTTCTGTTAAAAAATGCTTACTGTAACAGACATTATACATATGCATATATGATCATGTTTGTATTTGTGTATATGTTTATCTTCGGGGTCTATCTTCCATCTATGAAAGAAAACATACAGCCTTTGTCTTTCTGAACCTGACTTACTTTGCTTAACATGATGACCTCCAGTTCCATCCATTTTCCTACAGATGACATAATTTCATTCTTCTTTACGGCTGAATAACACTCCATTGTGTATATATACAACATTTTCTTTATGCACGTGCGCGCACACACACACACACACACACACATAGCACATGTCTGTACTAGTGGGACTGTTTGAGGGGACTAGGGAGAGAAAAAAGAGAATGGTACAGGAATGAATAATATCAAAATACATTTCCTCTGTGAGGAAAGAAGGCATAATGAAATGCTTTGAAAACTGTTGAATAAGAGGGGGTGGGAGGAAAGGTAAGGGAGAGTAATAAAGGGGGTAATCTGATTAAAGTACAATATATTCATGGGTGAAATACCGTGGTGAAACCCCTCTGAACAATGCATACACACTTAAAAAACAACAAGAGTGGAAATGTGAAAAGGTTCTATTAGAGGGTGGGTACTGGTGGGGGAAGGGTGAAAGAGGATGAAGTTGGTTGGTGTATTTTATAATCTGTGTGAAAATGAAACGTAGGGGGAGTGGGATGAGGGAGAGCGATGGAGGGGATGACTCTAACCAAAATACATTGTAAGCATATATGGAAAGGTCACAACGAAACCCCTGTATTACTAATATATGCTAATAAAAGTATTTAAAAATTGCTTACTGAGTGCCAACGGTGTGCTAGGTGATACAGATACAGCAGTTAACAAAATGGAATCCCTGCCCTTGTGCAATTTATGTTCTAGAATATTCTAGAATATTGCCGTCCATACAGATTTGTTCTTGACCTTTTTGTTTGTTTGTCTTGGCAGTACTAGGCTTTAAGCTGAGGGCCTTGTGCTTGCTAGGCAGGTGCTCTCACACTTGAACCACGCCTCTAGTTCTTTGACCTCTTTCTTTTTGAGCAACAGCAAACAGTAGTTCTGTGACACAATAATAAGACCTTGTTTTTGTTTTTCCCTACTTTTGCAAAATCTGTTATTGGCACTATGATCCTGCTACCTTTTACTTGCAGAAGGTTCCCGGACCCATTCTCACCACTGCTAAAAAGAATTCTAACCACTGAAAAGGTTTTACAATACAGGATCCAAAAGGATAGTTTTTAGAAAGAACTCAGCAGAAAGCACTGAGCTGAGGAGGAGGGATTATGCAGAGATTCGATCTTAAAACCTTCCAGTTGCATAAAGGTTTGTAAAATCTCTTCCAATGCCTGGTGGATGTAGTAGTTAAAATCGTGACATACTATGCAGTAGAAAGGGAATCACGCAGAGTTGATCAACAAAAGGACGAGGCTTAGGAATAGGAGGACTTTTTCAACTACTTGGTCCCACTGGAGTTGCCAATAACTTTTGAAGCAAACACTAATCAAAGTGACTGATGAGTAATCAAAATGCATTGCCAGACATGCTATTCTGTGTAACACACACACACACACACACACACACACACACACACACAATGTTGCAGAATAATTTTAATGGCCTATTTCACTTCTCTTAACTTTAGCAATTTTCAGCTGAGCGTGACACTTGGAATAAGGACAAATATGGATGGACTTCCCATTGGCGGATAATCCCTATCATGTGGTAATTCTTGGAAATGTCTTCCACTTTTTGGTTTGAAGTCGTGGCAGAATTTGTTAGACTAAATTGAAATTCAGTTTATGACAAGATTAGAAAGCTGTTTACTGTTCAACATAAACATCTATGCTTTCCTTTGTTTTATTGGTTTGGATTAAAAAAAGTTATTTTAGATATTATGGTTAAAAACATTAAACAGTCTATTTGACTTACAAATACCTTTATGAAATTAACTCTGAAAAGGTAAGTGAAAAGCTGTATGTCACCTACTCCTTATCTTTTCTTTAAAAGTCTATTGGTTAGAATAAATAAATAAATAAATAAAATCTCACCTAAAAATTATCACTCAAATTTGAAAGTGCTTAAACTTTGCTTCAACTTTAAAATAATTCAGACTTTACTTACCGCAATTTTCCCAAGATCTATGCCGTAATTCAGTGAATTCCATGAGCACTGCTTATAGTTTGGGGTCCAGGACTCCTCAAAGGTTTCCCTCAAGCATTCTCCCTTTTCTCCTTTGAATCCATCCCGACCTGGGATCCCAGGGGTACCGGGAATGCCATTGGCCCCAGGGCTCCCATCTCGACCAGGCACCCCAGCCGGCCCTTGTAAACACATGCCATTATACTACAGTGGAAAGGGAAAGGGAAAGGGAAAAGAACCCTGATTACTTACAAAGACTCCATGTGGTTAGGATTACATTTGTTTTTGAGCACAATTTTTTTTTTTTTTTTTTTTTTGGCAGTACTGGGGCTTGAACTCATGGGCTCATACTTGCTAGGCAGGTGTTCTTACCACTCGAGCCACTGAGCCAGCCAAAAAAGAAATGACAAGATCCAAGTTTTTTCTTTTTTCTTTCTTTTTTTTATTGGCAGCACTGGGGTTTTGCATTTGTTCTTGAATCCTTCAGTGGAGAGTCCCTTTAAACCTCTTGACCATGTTCTAAACTATTATAGAGAATTCATTTTAAGATTATTTATAAAATACTCTGATTTCCTTATTTCTTACACAAACATTACATACACATAGAAATCAGAGGACAAAAATGTTTACATTTGTTTGCCTCATTCTACCACTCATATAATAAGCATATATAATTTTAAATAGCTGTATTCCAAGGTACATATAATTTTAGGGGGGATGCTAGGGTTTGAACCCATAAAATGCTATATAACCACCCTGCAAAGGTGACACTTTGAGCTCGATCGTCTCATTCCTGTGCCCACCTGTGAAAACCAAGGTGCTACTAATTAGGTCTTCCAACCCCAACACAATCCACTCAAATTTTTACCTTAACATTTCTCCTATTTTTGTAAATTGTCCAACTGCATTATTCTGTATAAATACTCTGTCCAGTGAGTACAAAATCTAAAATGACTTCAGCCAGATGCAGGTGACTCATGCCTGTAATCCTAGCTACTCAGGAGGTAGAGATTAGGAGGATCCCAGTTGGAAGCCAGCCTGGGCAAACAGTTCATGATACCCTATCTTGAAAATATACAACACAAAACAGCTAGTGGAATGGCTCAAGTGGTAGAGCACCTACCTAGCAAGCATGAGGTCCCCAAGTTCACACCCCAGTACTGACAAAAAAAAAAAAAAAAAACTTCAAAGTTTATTTTTTAACTTTACTTTCTGGGATTGGATATGATCAGATTATAAAAATCCAGTAATAACACTCACTAGGAAGGATCCTATGTAACTAGACTATTTGCCAATCTATTTACTTTGATATCTGCTTGATCTTTGCTTTGGTCAATGATTCTTTATATGACTTAGATATTGTCATTTTCTGACTGTAAGGAAAAAAATTTATTTATTGTCAGAGAAATCTTAACAAAAATATTTTAAAACCACAAAAGTTACTTGAAGATATGCCAAAGTACAAAACATTTTTAAACAATTTGGTATATTTTAGACTTAATTTTAATTTTAGTAATTTCATTGACTTTAACTTATATGCCATGTTTGGACAAAGATTTAAACTGAGAAAGAAAAAACCATAATGCTTCTTTTGGTATTCTTTGACTTTATCCTTCTCAGGGCAAGATGCTACACAGACCAAGTTTTGTGTTCTATATTATTAGTGGTTCTCAACTGGGGACAGTCAGGCCCCCAGGAGACACTTGGCAATGTGTGGAGTCATTCAGTGTTGTCGCGATTTGGGGGTGGAGATGGCCCCTGGAATCTAGTGGGTAGAGACCAGGGATGCTGTTAACCACACTACAGTGCACAGAACAGTTCCCACAACAAAGACGTTCCTGGCCCAGAATGTCCAGTGTCATGGTTGAGAATTTAAATTCAACTTTTCAACTAAAAACTGTATTCCAGAGACCACAGAGCTTTGTTGGGTTCGGTTCTACGGGTATTGCATATGTCACCACTCACTTAAAAATACTAGCCCAACACTGGTTTAGAATCCGCTGATCTAATCTGCTGGAGGTGTGGTTCAAACAGTAGAGCGCCTGCCTGGCAAGTGCGAAGCCCCGAGTTCAAGCTCCCCGCTCCCCCAAAAAAAGAATCCTCAATAAATGTCTATAGAATGAAAAAATGTGAGTGGAAGCTCAAGCTCCCCGCCCCCACTTCTTTCATTGGCCACCAGGGGGCAGAACTAGGTGAACGCGTGAAAGGAAGCCTTTGAAAGATCCTATACAAAGAAGTTGCTTTATAGAATCTGCTGAAACCTTTGCAATGACTGTGTGGACTTTTTCTGTTACCAAAACCAAATCCAACCTACAGGATGCACCTGAGTCTAGCTGCACAATAAGCTTTTCCAAGTTGGGCTAGAGCTGTGGGAAACCACAGGTACTGTAAATCCAGTAGAGGGAAAAAAAATTGCTAGCTTCAGGAGGAAAAGGGGTATTTTGTGCATCTTAACTGCACATTCAAAAAATGCAAACTGCACATGAACCACACTCATTTGGTACAGTTTTAACAATTTAGACCCCTAAAATAGAACTGGAGCCCTGAACACATAGCCTGCTTTTATGGAGCAAAATTATATACCATAGCACCAAAATGTGCTGTGTGAAATGGCAGAAAAACTTTTTTCCAGTGCTTTTGAATCCAGCTTAGAAGGAGCTGCCAGAGAGCTTGGCTTATTAGCTCAGTTTAGAATGGCAGCTTAACAAATTTGAAACTTTTTTTTTTTTGTAATCAATAAATGGTCCCTGTTTTATGTCCTGCAATGCCTGTCAACCATAGGAGGTTGGCTTCAGGAGTGAAGTTTATGATGTGCCAAGGACTACAGTATCCGTGAAAGACTGCTCTTGCCACAGGACAGAGAAACTCTCTGCCCTTCACTGCGTTTATTGACTTTCAGAGGGAGAGCGTTTTTTAAAGCAAACAGCCCTTCCACAGATCAGCCCCTCAGAAAGCTCTTGGGTTACTTGTTGCTCTCCAGAAACTGTCTTCTCCTTTAGCTCTTCTGTGATGCTCCTATCTGGTGGCCACACGCTGAAGACCTGCCTGCCCATCTAATCCAAACAGAACCAACGAGATGGGTCTCTGGAATGTTCGTGCACGACCCCTTCATTTCTCCTTCCTTCCTGAAACCCTCTGAACCTTTCTTGGCCCCAGCTGTGGTCGTCCAACGAAGTAAATTGCAGCCCAAACTCCCAGGGAAGATGACCCAATGTGACTCACAGTGTTCAAGTTACAAAGGGTTGGACGGATGCTTTGTGGGGGTTGTTATTGTCTCCTTTGGGCAGCTGTGGCCACCAGCCCCAACAAAGGACACGTTGCACAGCTCTGGCCCAGGGTCAAGGAATCATTAGGTCCAGAGTCTTTCCCAGACCTGCGATCTAACCCACCAAGCTTCTCATTCTACAACCAGTGCCGCCCTAACCCTGTCCACCCTTTCCCAAGGGTGGCCTTCCCTGAGGCCAGAAATCATTGGGCGACTCCTGGACTTTGGGGCGTCCCACCCAACCCACGTGAATCGCTCATTATGGTCTCCCCTCGAGTTCCATGACTCCAGTACGCACAGATCCAGGGTCGTCCCTCACCCAGGGACTCAGACAAAGCGGGGCTCCCGGGCGCACGTGAGACCCACACCCCACAGCCTGCATCAGCCGTTGGACTGACGCCCTCTGGGTTCCACGGGGCTCGTTCCGCTGCTCCCGGCTCCCCGGACTCACCAGGTCCACCACCTCCCTCTGCCTGATTAGGGCCTTCTGCTTCCCCTTGGGGGTCTCGGAGGCGCCCGACGGCGCGGGCAGCTGCAGCAGCAGCAGCAGGAGGAGGAGGCCGAGCAGCGGCGGCGGGGAGGCGGCGCGGCCCGGGGGGCGCATGGCGCGCAGTGCCGGGAGGTGGCGACGGAGGGGACCGTGGGAGCCGGGACCCCGTCAGCGTCTGGCCTCGCCGCACTCTCAGACCGCCGCGCGCTGCATCAATGCGCCTTTCACCGCGCGCCGCCCTCGCTCCTTTCCCCTCCCGCCCCCTGGACACCCGGAGTTTCCATCCCGTCATAGGCCGGAGCCCCCACCCCGAGCCCGGGCGGGGCGGACCCAAGCCCGGCCCGGCCCTTCTGCCGCGGCTCCGCCCGCAGGACCCTCGCCATCCCGCTGTGACACGCCTGCAGAGTCGGGGTCTCCTAACAGAACCCGTTAGAGGGACGGGGGTCCTCAATTCCTGGCAAAGTCTGGCAATCCTTTTTTAAAAGGGGAGGTGACATTTGGAGGGAGAAAAGGACTCTGTCTCTTGGCAGTCCTGTGGCGGACAGATGCTTCCTCTGCACGCCCGATTCACAGACAAGGAAACTGAGGCCCAAGGAAGTTAGTCAACCTTCAGTGGGAGAGTTTGAGTCCTTACTCGACCTCTATTACCCTTTGCTAACCACTTCTGTCCTCTTACCATCTGTCCTTTGTCCATTTTGGAAGAAAGCGTCCTGGGGGATAAGGTTCCACAGGCAGAGCAGAGGTCCTGCCCCATTGCAGCAACACAAAGGTGTGGTTGGATATCAACACTGCTGAAGTCAAATCCAGTTCAGCGGGGCTCGTTTTAGAGATCATCCAGGTCCCCTGAGTTAAAGCTGATGGGGAGTAAAGACAAGGAGCCCTCTGGCAGGGGAGCAGGTCCTGGCAGTTCTAGGAACTCACTCCCGGGCTAGTGCCTACTGCAGGTAAATTTCACTCCTGTGTGGCAGAAGGAAGCGACAATTCAGCTGAGTTCTAAAGCCAGAACTGATTACATAATGGGTGCTGCCTGGTGCAAAATGAAAACGCAGGGTCTTGTGTTTAAAAAGTTATTAAGAATTTAAAAATGGCCTGAACACAGCAATAAACCAAGTGTGGGGTTCTTCTAAGTGCCCCACTCTGGCTCTGCGTGAATACACAGGTCACAAGCCCAGGAAACCCTTCCTGTTTATAAAGCTGAATGGTCCCCTTCTGCTAAATCATTGTGGTCCTAGCAGCCTACTTGAAAAAGAAGTAGAGTGCCTGCCTAGCAGGCCCTCAGTTCAAAACCCCAGTGCAGCTCCTCTTTGCCCCCCCCCCCAAAATGTAGCTACTTGTATTTTAATTATTAACTACTTAAGTACTTTTTATTATTATTATTATTATTGGGGTTTGGACCCAGCGCCTCCAGCATACTAGGCAATCACTCTACCATTGAGCTACATTGGCAGACCTTAAATATTTGAATTTCAAAATCAAGTTTTTCTTAAGCTTTTCAGCGCAATATAGAAGATTTAGGTTCAACTGACTCATACATATCAAAGGTTTAATTGTTCTAAAATCTAGCTCTATTTGATGGCGCCACTGTTTGTATCTGTTGCTAAAAGAGGTTTGACGTGAACCACAGGCAGAGAGCTTGGGTCTCCATCCAGAAAAGAGAAAGAGCCTTTGGTGGCTTAGCCAGTAGAAGAGGTGAATAAACAAGCTGTACTGGTGTGTCCATCACCTGACCACCTGAGGAGATACACAGTCCCGGAGATCTCCTCTAAAGAAGTTTTGGTAATTGACAAGACATCCGGTTGGAAGACAGTCTTAAATTCAGTCTCTTGACACAATTGGTGACTTGGGCCATGCAGTGCCCTCTCCAGGCTTCACCAGATGAGCAGAGTCAGAGATGGTCTCCCTTCCGGTAATGTCTCTGCTCAAGACAGTGCTAATTTGACGAACTTACTGCCGGTGATTTACCTCCCTTTTTGAGAGCTTGTTTGGAGGTTCTTGCAGGGGAGCGCAGCTACTGCAATACCCTTGATGGAAGAACCATCCTCCTTTATCCTGGATGGTGGTCCTCTTCCACCAACTCGCAGCTTTGAGTACCTCCCAATTTGAGTATCACCTAAGCAACTCAGAAGATGGGCACATTGAAATCATGTTCTCCAGAGCAAGGCAAATGCTTATTAGAACTTTTGATACATTATCTATCAGGATTTTTCTCTGAATTCAGCTCTCTCTCTCTCCTTACAGGGCTTTTTTTTTTTTTTTTAATTTTCACATTTACTGAAGACATTTTTCATGTCTGTCATTAATAACTTCTGGAAATTTTCTTCAGAGGACACTGTAATTGGATTTAAGATAGAAGGCCTTACAAGTTCAGATGTTGTCTTTACCCTTTGTAGGGTTAAGTAGTAGTTGCAAGGAAATGTTCTAATTCTATTAGGACTCTTAAATCTAGGATGGAATTTTATATAGATATATATGTATAAATATATATATGGTATATGTATGTTATATATACTAATAAGGAAACTTTTATTAGATCCTTAAAAGAAACATAAAGTCTATCTTGTATATTATAGAAAGTTGTTTCTTTCACTCTGCTTTACTGCATGTTTAAAAATAGTGGAAAACATACTGTATTCTGGATTAATCTCTTTGGGAATTTAAGTAGATTTCCTAAAAACAACAACAAAAAAAACTGCTCTCTTTACAAACTGAGTTAAATAAATTATTCTACACATTGTAAGTTACATTTACAAAGTTAATATATCTGATTTTATTATATGTTAAATACCTATGGGGGTAAACTTATAAATTTAATAAGTAAAATTTTAAAAAGCACCCCAGCACTTCTTTTAAGACTAATAAACCAAGGGGCTAGGGCTGTAGTTCAGTAGTAGAAAGTGTGCTTAGCCCGTCTAAGGACCCAGGTTCAAATCCTGGCACCTAAATAACAAAAATCTAATAAATCAAGCTTATAAATGTAGTGACTAGGTTTTATTTTATTTATTTAATTGTTTATTTTCTTGGTGGTACTGGCATTTGAACACAGGGCCTCGAGCTTGCTCCAGCCATGCCTCCAGCCATGGCTAGATTTTGTTAAACATTTAAAACCTCTATAAATTTGATTAAATGTGATTATTCATTTCAAATTAATATTACAAATCTATCTTTTTTTTTTTTTTTGGTGGCACGGGGGTTTGAACTCAGGGCTTCACACTTGCCAGGCAGGCATTCTTACCACTTGAGCCACCCCACCAGCCCATTAATATCACAAATCTAACATGCTAAATTTTCTTAATGTGTCATATACTCAAAATTAACTAAGAGACCCCATCACAATTGTTACAAGACTTCCAAATTAATCTTCAAAAGTCTCATCTGTGGCTGGGGAATGATCATTCTGGAATTACCACTCAAGATCCTGAACTATTTCCAGTTAGACTCAACAAAAATTTATAGTCTAAAGATTAGACCGAAAAACAGTGCTAGATTAGACAGTAAATTCCAGAGATAGCCAGGGGGGCTAGCCTTAGACTGCAATCCTTCTACCTTTGCCTCCCACCTAGCTGAGACTACAGATGTGAGTCACCACACCTGGCCTGCCAATAGTATTTTCTATGCATACACAGCACCCATTCCTAATGAAAAAACTGTTGAAAGAAATTAGGGAGGGGAGTGAATGGGTCACTATTGTTGGGTGGTTTATGTCACTTCTTTCTAGCATAACCCTCTTGGTCTCTTCAGTGGAGTAGAACCAAAGACTTTTGGAGTTGGCAAGAATTTGAGAAAACATGCAACCATGCATTTTATGATGGAGACCCATATTCAAAGACCACTCAGAGTACTCAAGGAACTTTCCAAAGGTCACACAGCAAAGCAAGATTGTGCTGGGGTCAGTGAATTCTTAGTTCATGTTTATTATGAACTAAGGAGTAAAACTCCTTTTGAGTATTCTACCCTTCCACAGCCTTGCTAGTGGGAATTGAGGAAAGAATTGAGCCAGACTTTTTAAAAGCAAAGAAGTCACTTGAGAGACCAATGTCTTAAGGGCAAGGAAGGATCAAAGAAGGGGGAACCCTAGGGAAAAGCAAACCAGAGTCAGGAGGCTCTGTCAGTGAGCTACCCCCTGGGTGATGCTGGACAATGCTTAGCTGAAGAAGCTGTTCACTTAAGCGACTCCATGTAGTTTCTACCACATGCCCTGGTTTTGCTCTCTAGAATTACCTACAGCAAATCCATTTTCTTGTCCCCTGGGCGATGTTCTGTTTGAAAGCAGCACACCACAGAGTGGGACTGTTAAAAGATCTAAATGCGAATCTTTTTTTTTTTTTTTGGTGGGATGGGGTTTGAACTCAGGACTTCACGCTTACAAAGAAGGCACTTGAGTCACATACCTCCAGTCCATTTTTCTCTGTTTATTTTGGAGATAGGGTCTCTAGAACTATTTGCCCAGGCTGGCCTTGAACTATGATCCTCCCAATCTCAGCCTCCCAAGTAGCTGAGATGACAGGCATGAGTCACCAGTGCCCAGCTCCAAATTTGAACCTTATGTCCGTCACTTCTTCTGGATTCATTCATTCATTCACTCATTGAACAAATGTTTATTAGAGTCCACTATGTGCTCAGCTGTGTTCAAAGCCTCAGAAATCTATCAATGGATAATAAAGAAGAACAACAATCCAGTCCTCATAGAACTTGCAATTTAGTATACGCTGATAGACAGTAAACAATATACATAAATAAATGAATCCTAAAGTATATTAGGCAGTAAATTCTATGGGAAAACAATAGAAAATGGTAAGAAGGAGTGAAAGTGGCAATGGCTGTCCACAATAAGCCAGCTGTAATTTTGCACAGGGTAGTCAGGAGCTGTCTTATGAGTAGGTGACTTTTAGGCAAAGGCTTGAAGAAGGGGAGGGAATGGGCTGAGCAGCTATCTATGAGAAAACCACAAGTCCAACCCAAAGGCCTGATGCAAGAGGCTGCCTAGGGCTTTGCCTTTCTCTGCTCTGCCATCTTCACTGGCACAGTTTCACCCTCCAGCTTTCTTCCTCCATGACAGTCAGATGGCCTCACATACCACATTCAAACACAGATATGTTCAGGAAAAGATTACAGCTTCCTG